TAGTATCCATCATTGTTCTCTCTTGTCTGCGGTGCCAGCGCAGTATTTGTGAAGCGCTAGAAATGTCGGGCGGCCTTTCATTGGCAGCCATCGGTTGATTGGGAGTCGGAGGATTGTACCTGAGGGCGTGCGGGATGTCACACCTGAGAAAATAAAGCTGGGCTGTCACCCTGCCAGCTACGCTGCCGTCCTACCAAAACATCGCCACTGTCGTCATTCATGTAATATGCCCTGAAAACTAAAAACATTGCGACTAGCTTGATAACTGAAAATGCCAGCTACGCTCTCGTCATACCAAAACAACGCCATACATGCCATACACAACATCATACTGTAATATGGCCTGAAAACGGAAAACATTGCGACTGTCACTTTGTCGTCATTCATGTAATATGGCCCAAAAACTGAAAACATCGCGACTAGCCCGAATAAAACTGAAAACATCACAACTGTCGCCATACATGTTATATAGCCATGGGAAATATTGCGACTGTCATACTGTCATCACACGCAATATGGCCCAAAAAATAAAAAAATGTCACGACTGGCAAGAAAACATTATGACTGTCGAACTGTTGTCATACATGTAACATAGTATCATTACATAGGTAACAAAAAACATTGTTATCTGTCATAATTGGAATTACCAGTTTTAAACAGAACATGGAGTGTTTTTACATTTATTGGTGATTCACTGAGTTTGCAAAAATATCACACATGATAACGTCAACACAATTTCTTGGCAAATAACTGACACAAGAAAATTTTGAAAACAAAACTTAAATGTCACAAAGGTACTTTAATTTTTAGTATTGTCTTCCCTGTTGCTGGTATTTGTTTTACTAACTATTGTAATATGTATTTTTCATAGTCTTTCAACCAGAAGCAGTATACTAGTAGCTTTTTAAAAACGTTTACTGCCAAGCCAACACTGCCATTATTGAATATTGATGAATGATGATCCTTTTCGTAATGCATGGTTTCTGTACGTGCTAGTATTATTTTATTAGATACATGTAGTAGATAGAAGATCCTTTCAGCCAGGTAGGAAGTCTCTTCCTGTTGAGGCTGCTCCTCACTTTCGATTATTGTAGTCTTCCTCTTTTCTAGTGTTTATCCCTGTCACCCCAAGGACCGAGGCTGTTGGCAGCTCCGTACATCTGGGGGAAACCTTGCTGCAACTTGTACAGCTAATCAACCCTCACGGCTACAGCGTGTGGTACCCCAAACAAATACGGCCAGGGTTTAGATTTAGTGTGTCTGCACTTGTTTCCCTCCAGAGGGCCTAGGAAAACCGCCGGTCGGAATGCTTTCTGCTGCAAAGAAAACAAGCAGGCCGGTCCCGGGTCTTCCAGGGTGCATTAGATAGCAGGATGATGAGGTACCTGGCTGTATAATGTGTTCTCCACACTTCGTAACGTTTCCAGATTGTCGTCTGGACCTGTCTGACTCACTGGTGTGTAGAGGAAGGGCGTTACTCTGGGGAAAAAGTGGGTTTGGTTTTTTTTTAGTCAACACTTGTCTCTGGGTGTAACCAACTACTAGTATATGTACAAAAGGATTGTCCTAAAAAATACTTATACGTCTCTGAGTTCTGTAGTTTATACTTTGGTACAGTGAGTGATGTTCCATTTTTTTTCTACCCAGTCTTTTCCAACCATAAAAGCATTAGCACGTGTTCACAGCGTTGAGAAGGAAATTGCTGGGCGTGGAAGGTGTTAAACTTTAAGGATATTTTCAGGGGTGTAGTTTACTTTGATACATGCACCGTGTTGTTTCTGTTTCACATTGCCAGTGTCTTATCCAACATCTAATAAAAGCCCTAGCGCGTTCTCTGCGCTGAGAAGGAAATAGCAGGGCGTGGAACTTGAACTGGAAGGTGTTGAAGATATTTTCTGGAGTGTAGGTCTTAAAAATTGACACGTCTCTTAGTTGAGTTGTTTATACTGTGGTACAGTGACGTTTCTCTTTTTCTACTCCCCCCGTCTTTTCCATCCGTAAAAGCACTTGCACGTTCCCAGAGAAGGAAATTGCAGGGCGTGGAACTTCTTAACTGGAAGGTGTTGAAGATATTTTCTGGGGTGTAGGTCTGAAGAGCGGAGTGATGACACGAGAGGGTCTATCGCCGCTCTCTAAGGTATTGTCAACTACCTGCCAAGTGGGCCCTGGACTCCTGCCAACCCAAATCACGCCGAGCCATCAAAACTTGTCAATCTATTTCAGTCCTTCACAAGGCAGAAAAACAAACAAACATAAGGTACTTGGCACATCGTGTGTGTATGTGTGTGGTTACTTTCGTGGCATTACTCCGTGCGTTAGTTCGTAGTGTAGTCGGTTCTCTGCGAGGGGAAGGATTGAAAAGGTTTCGAAAGTTTTTCTCTCTGCGAAAAAACTTCACGGGCCATTGACCGGCAAGTAGGGTCCGCTGTACCCACCATAAATTACTTGATAGGGTGTCAAGTAATGGTTGATAGACCCTTGAAACCAGGAGTGTAGTGCTCCAGCGTTTCGACAAGCCAGGAGCATCGGACCGTACGCCGGTTTGTAAGCGGGCGTGTGTGTGTGCGGGTTTTGGAGCGGCCCTAGGAGGAAGGCGACCGGAGAGACACAAGCGATTCTCCACACCAGTACGGCGGCACCACAGCTGCAGTCCCGATGTGGCATCTCCAGCGTTCTTGGCGTGTTGGGAACAAAAACACACATCTGCGGCGTGTTTGCACAGTGGGCTGATCACACAGACATCGGGCCCGGCCAGGACTAGGGTATAAATACGCTCTGTCTTGTTCCTCGAGCTGGCTAGTGAAAAATTAGACCTCTTAGATCAACTTCATCGCAGTTTTCCTCGAGGAGTATCAACCAGGACTGAGAAACCGCGGGCACACGGTAGCACAGATATGCGCGAGCGGACAGGGGTAGAGGCGGTACGGAGCACCATAGGAAGGTGGGTCTTCCGACGTACGGCGGTTTTACTTTTTAGAGGGGCACCGAATTCAGGATTTCGATTCCGACAAATTTGCTTAGTATCTTGTCCACATTTGCTGTTGGCGGTCGGTCGATTTAGGACCTTTCAAATCGCATCGCCATGTAAGGCCAGGCTTGGAGGGGGCTGTCAAATCCACTGGTCCTTCCACAACTACAGTTCTAGATATGGGACTAGATTCACAGTGGCAACTTTCATTTCGCTGATCGGCTTACAGTGCAACGTAGGCTTTACCGCTAAACTACGTAGATCTTCAAAAGATCAGATTAAAAAGTTTGAAATACGAAGATAGGGGTATGTCCTGGGGGCTGCCGTGCGGGCTGCTATCTTATCTACAGATCTAAATTGTTTTATCTGTACAGACACAGATCATGACGGGCTATTGGATGGATGATTACGAATTCAACAAGGTGATCTAGATTCTTGCGCTGGTGAATAGTTTTGGACACGCTCCCTGGCTTTAGGGTTTTCCGACGTTTAGAAACTGTATTTCAAACGCTAGTATCATATAATTTTGACAGAAGGCGAACGTCAGAAGGTTTTTAAAAAATCGTTAATCACAGTCTGTAGCTGAACCAAACGTGCTTGTTCTGGTATGTTCAAATTCGATATCGGCATAAATTTACAAGAATAATCAGTATCGGTTCTTTGCTCTCACTATTGTATCTTACGAAAACTGCCTTGGAATATGTTGGAATATTCCAATTGTAATGTTATGGACCGTCGCGTTGTGATGATCAAAGAGGTTCTATAAAGGTTTGAAACCACATAATTTGTTGGAATGTAGTGTACTACTACTACTAGTATCATGTCTTGGTATCAGCTGCGCAGCAAAAATAACAGAACCCTTCTCGGTTGAAGTAGTTGTAGACTTGGGCCGGGGATTTGTCGCCCACTCGTGGTTGTTTACGGGTAAACTTTGGATTTTGTTTGTCCTAATAGAGATAATTAGCGCCGGGGAGGGGGTGTCCGGTGCTTCACGGGCGGCGTAGCTGTCTTCCAAATAAAGCATCAGTTTCAACACCATTTTAATTACCCAGATTCAAACTCTTACGTTTTATTTTTAGCTGTTTGTTTTTTATGTGTACTTTTTCCCATCTTACCTGGTTCTGTTGACTTTTCGAAAGATCGCCCTCCAAAAATTGGTGTAGCTGTCTTCCAAATTAGCATCAGTTTCAACCCTTGTAATTATTACCTATATTAAAACTCTTGCCTTTTATTTATAGCGGTTTGTTTTATGTACTTTTTTGTCGTGTTACGTCGTTTACTACTGGGCAGCTTTTTTGAAGTAGTGGAATCAACTCTGACAAAACCGCAAATCCAACCCGCCCGGTCGTTGTTGACTTTTCGAAAGATCGCCCTTCAAAAAGTGGAAACAACTACTAGTAACTACCCTGCGTTGTTTTCATATTCCGATGCGGCATCGCCGCTCTCACACTGTGTATACATAATGCCTGACGTGACCCGGCTCGAATATCTTTGCATGATAAAGTAGTTGAAACAAAACTGGCCGCTACAAAGCGTCTATTATGTCGGATTACAGAAAAGAACCCTCTGGGAACGGGGTTCTGGATGAATTGCGATCATGTGATGACGTGAAATCGTGTGCGTTCGACACTTTGTCCGAACACCAGAGAAGCCTGTACGGTGGAGTGTCGGCGCGGATAGAGTGAAGGTATGGTCGTATCGCTTGGCAACATTATGTCGGGAGGCGTAGTTTCAGCACTAACTTTGTCCACTAGCGTTCCAAACTAACCCGGGAACGTTGGGGAAGCTAGGAATGCGCTGCCGGTTTAATTATAGCACGATTTGCCCCGGAGAAAATGGTTAGCATGCGCCTGTGTGGTGAGTGGAAGGTCGGAGCTATAGTGTAACGTCGGAACCGTTTAGCTGTCGTAATCTGTCGTATCTTTTAAGAGCAATTTATCGATTGTGGATGGCCGTGATTTGGAGATAGGTGGAAAATGCGGGTACACGGCGTCGGAACGCGCGGCCGAGCGGCATACCACCGCGCTAACATGAGCCCTGGGCCCTTCAGCGCGCACTGGTGGATTTGAATGGCAGATAGGGCCTTTCCGTCATAGTTGAACTGGCTTCAAGCGCCCTTCAAGCTGTTTTCCACCGACGGCAAACCGAACGCCCTGCGTCCCCGCCGAAGTGGGGAGACGAACACTCGATCTCTGGCAACGTTATAGACGTGTTTGAAAGATAAGGGGAGGCAAGCACAGAGTACGTAGGGAGAAGCAAATGTTGGGGTTGTTTTTGTAGCGAGGCCGGGGCCTATTATGCACACCCCTAGCCGCCATGGCCCCTGCCATCCACCGTGTCAGGTAAACTGACACGCTGTAGACATTTTGACGGTTGAAGGCATTTCGGGGGTACAGTGAGTTGTTGGCTGGATGGGGGCTGGCTAGACTGTGGTGGTGGTTGCGAAGCCCTGTAGTTTTTACCGACTGTTTTACTGGATGGTATAAACGTTTTGGTGATGTGATGATGAGGCAGTGAAGGGTTTCACACGTCGGGTATCCGGCCTGTGGACAGGCTAGGCGGACAGGAAGAATGCAGGCCCGCATGTGTGTGAGGACTGTGAACCGTGGCGAGAGAGACGGGTGGGATATAAGCGCCAACCCTGTGCCCTGCTGCTACAGCAGACACGTTCCCACTCCGAGGTGTGTTTGTTTATTTCTGGACGGAATGTCTGATCATGGAGGCTTGCATGTTGGGTTCGCAGTTCGCACACGTCTACTAGAGTATTGATGTGAGAAATATTTGCTTTAGAAGCCAATCCGTCCAAGTTTTTAACCAGTTTCTGTGAGGATATTGTAGTAGGAAAGGTTAAAAAGACCAGGCGCTAGTCTACTGTCTAGGTAGGAATGTGTCGTCTGGAAACGCAATTCTATCTGCCTGTCTGATAGAACTGAACCGTGGTATAACCTTCCGGCGGTCCTGTGTTTGTGTGATGTTGTTGTCTTGACGTGTCGTTGCGTAATAGTGTGTTCAAACATGCAGACGACATCCATTTATTATTATTTACTGCGTTGACTGGCACTCGGTAATTTTTAAACGCACTGTGGTTCTAAATATATACAGGGCACGTATCCGTATCTTGCACCGATTTTTCTGGTTTGTTGGATTTCTATAGAGGCACTGTACTGTCGAAGTGTATAATTATATGATAACTTGGTTGACTAGAGAACAATGTGGTCGTGGTTCGGTAAAATTAAGCGCTGACAATTCCATCACACAGTAGTTAAATTCCAAAATCACTGCAGCAGAATTTCCTGTGAAAACAAAAAGCGCCAAAACTCTATTGAGCCTCTATGTATTTTTCAAATATTGGCATTGGTCAGTTAAGTAAACAAGGCTTTGTTTTCGTTTTTAAATACAAGTTAAAACAAGAGGACATCGACATTTTTATAAAGAGGGTGAAGTAGAAATTGGAATGATATTTTTCTGGTTGGTAAACAAGTTATCCTAGTGTCGATATTTCCCCCTCGGCGACGTAAAATGTGTCTAAAACCGTCGCGGAGGGATTTTACAGATGAACACCCCACAGCTAATCTCCACTTGACCCCCATTTCTTCCAGACGCTCTTCCAAAGCTGGCTCATTACCGCAGTTTCCCCCGCCCTCCCCCCCCTAAAAATATAGCCTCTACAAGGCTTGGGAAGCGGTTGGAAAGAGTTTTAGAAATTGGCCAAATAGACAGATAACAAGCCAGGGGAGTTGGTCTGCTCTAGGAGTGCATTTGCCACCTCTAATTTCTACTCTTTTCATTCCGAAGCCTGGTAGAGGCTACAGAAAAAGAAAAGAGGCGACTGCCAGTGGCCAGGTTTTTATCGTGTTTTACCGAGCGGGTTGCCACCGTCGTATTATCGGCGGTTCTCCAGTCGTAAACAGACAATTACTGGGGTGTCAGTCTGGCCGCCGGCGGTTGACCCACACTCGCCGATCTCCTGACGATACTGTGCGACTTGCCATGATCCTAGCCTCCCTACTATAGCATGCAAAAACTGGGGGTCTTTGGGAGCTTTTATGTGCTATTTTCTGATTGCATATAGACAGCATAGCCGGCCTGGTTGAATGAATTACCCCCGTTTTCAGAACTGGGTTAATCAGAAAACAGCCGAAGACATGCTACGGAGACTACCATGATCCTTTCTCTCTGTCAAACGATATCTAGTTCTCAATAACACGAGACAAAATCAAACAGCTGAACTAACAACTAGTTTTGAAGGATACATTCGAACTATTCCGTATGTAACGTTACGTATATCGCTGCTACAGTGACTGAAGATATCGGAACTCGAACTTTCTGACAAGCATGTGCGTTTGGAAAGCTAACCGTATCAAAATTCCTCATTGATCTGCTGTGAATGGCGGTGGTGTCTGTAGCTCACTGTGATAGCTAGCAGCTGAACCAATATCCCTGTACACACCTAAAAACTCGTCCACCCTAAAATAGAAACGGGACAGAAAAAAAACTGACAGCTGACACGTAGAGGATTAGTATTACAACATTTCTCAGAATCGCTCACATTCAATATGGAATGGCATCTCCAATCACTTTTACTCACCATCCCTTGTGTAAATTGTGAGAGTTGACACATGGTACGTGTCCTCAATTTCTCAAATTTCCTCCAATCTCGTCTCTTCAATTCCCCTGTGGAAAATTTTACGTCCAGATCAGAAGAAGAGGGGATTTGTAAGGACAAGCGATAGTTTACATCGAGCAGGCAATATTGGGGTGTACTTGCGAAGTGAGGGAATGCGCCGCAAATTGAGGGGTGAAGACAGCTCGCTTTCGGTACGTGCTCTGTCTGGTCTGGTATGCCTCTCTCTCAAGCAGACACCGGGTCAAAACGAATACACGTAAGTTACAACAGCCAGGGGAAGAACTTGAAGAAAAAGTGTAAATCTTATTTGATACCCCAGTGATAATTACCGTGATTGACTCTCGGGATGATTGTAAATAGCCCAACTAACGCTGCCGACCATTAGGTGATAAACGCCCCATAAAGTTCTATTAATTGGCAGCCAGTGTGGGATTTCGTTCAAGGGGCCGGGTTGAATTTCAAGGCTGTGTTGTGTGGATCAGTGGTGGAGGGGATATTTGGCAGTGAGATCCTAGCCTCCGTAGCAGGCTTATAGAACTGGGGGTTTAGTGTTTTCTCGGCTGTTTTCTGATTAGCCCAGTTCTGAAAAACGGGGGTAATTCAACCAGGCCGGCCATGTTGTCTATATGCAATCAGAAGATAGCACATAAAAGCTCCTGAAGACCCCCAGTTTTTGGCATGCTATGGAGTCTAGGTAGGATTGTTGCACCAGATGTGCCGGTCGCAGTCAGGAGGGAGAGAGCAGAGGGTTCAGGCTGAAACGGTTGTGGCACGAAAAGGTAATCCCCAGGGGAAACTCGGCACATTTTTGGGCACGCAACTCTAACAGACTCGATAGCCCCTTTTTGGAACGACTTCAAGCGGCGAGAACCCCGTCAAAAATGTGCTTCAAGATCTTTCCTTTCAACTGCATCTGTCAAAACAATTCTTACCGACACGATCTACAATTTTCTATTAAAGAATGGCATTGACATTGCTCTAGCAGATTCATATTGTCGCCGATGCGTTTTAAATCTCTATTATGTGTAATGGGCCTATACGGATTAGCCTAGGACTTAATAGTTCTTTCCTCTAATCTTTACTAGCTCGAACGTCCTTCCACAGTGAACAGATGTTCCAAGTTGAAAGCCTGTCCCTTATAACGCATGAATATGGATGAGAGAACAACAGTGGGAAATCCAAGACAAGCCGAAAGTCCGTAACTCCCAAGTGTACGAGTATAAAGCCTTGTCCCTTGGGTTTGAGGATTTGTATTTTGGACCCGGCAGGGTGCGTGTGTTTTTGTCCCTCTATTGTTCCCACGTTTTTGATAATTGGCTGGCTTCAGCTAATTTATAAACTCAGAGGAGCTTCATAGTTCAATACAAGATACTGTAACGGTATGGCTTTGAAAGTAAATTAAGTATCTAATAAATATTTATGTTGTTGCATTTGTGTGGTATTAGAAAGTTCTCTCTTTTACCTCCATGGAAAGATCTAGCCAATAGATTCTAACATGTAGATTTATTGTTGTAAAATTTAAATTTTGTTCCGGAATTCCAACACATCATACAGTCACCGTGCAATTTTCAGTCGATTATACCAACACAGATTTTATCTTTTATTCGAATATGAAGATTTTTCCCTGACTTGCTTTTTTTGGCCCAGATTTGTACGTGCCATTTTTTCCAAACGTGAAATGGCCATTCTTGCTTATGAATATAACATGACGTTTAAATAATTCATACCCCGAAGTGAAAGAATGTAAATCATTGAAGGGTGTCCTCAACAATTACAAACCATGCATTATTGAAGACGACACAATAAGGCCACTTAAAACTTGTTTTCGCGAACATGGCTGCATTTTGGCCGCAACGTTTATACAGTATAACTTGCTAATAATAATTTAGTCACAACTAGTCCTTCGTAGACATAATTTTTAACGGAAATAGGGTGTGGGGCTTGCTAGTAATTTTTTTATGTTGTCATTTGTTGCGGATAGAGGTTAGAAATTCGTGGGAAACAAGAAGAATTGAGAAACATCTACTAGTATATAAATTCTTTGACGATAATGATATTAATAATGACAATAATTTCATCACAACTATGTATTCTACTTCTACACAATTTAAACGGCTGGTAGTTGTATGTCGTGATTTGTTGCCGATAGATGTTTAAAAAAATTCGTGGGAAACAGAAGAACTGATTCCTAGATCTTGATTGGGTGGATTTTGTCAGCAAAACTTATTTAACTTATATTTGATGAAAATGATAATAATGATGATAATTTCGTCAAAGCTATTTCTTCCACTACTTCTACACAATTTAAACGTAAGCAGGGTGTTGCTGGTAGTTGTATGTCGTGATATGTCGCGGACAGGGGTTAGAGAAAGTCGTGGGAAACAGAAGAGCGCGGTCCCGAATGTCCCGACGTAACGCCGTCCTGCTCTCCGGTGTCGCGTTGGCATCGCGACCCTTGTCGGGAGGAACAGGCCACTTTGTCCGGGGTAGTGTGGGTTTCACCCGGAGAATGCGAGGGTACACACACGGGTAAACAAATAGAACAGGATACTTCGGTGTTGCGGGATTAGATATATTCTCCTCGCTCGCCGTGATAACCGATAAGCGAACACTCTTTCCGATTTCCTGTGCAGATACTATCTCTTGCAGGGAGATCTGGCCCTGCATGCTAAAGCAGGCGAAGTAGAGGACTTTCTGAAAGCCTGAATAGAAAGCCCTAATTAAAAGTGGAGAACCAACAAAGGGAAAAGCTAATCAGGGGTCCACGCACCTGAATCCACGTCTCCCGCGCTAATTCTCCCAATCTGTTACCCAACAACTACAAATTTTGTCAGGAAGAGAGAGATAGGCATCTTTTAGCCTGGAGTGCTACTCCAGGCTCGCTCGCTCGCAAGCGGGACTGTGTGTGTATACGTGTGCGTGTGTACTAGTATGTGTGAGGTGGGAGGGAGGGAAATAAGGGCGATAAACGCTTCAAATTGTGAAAGTTCGGCCTCTTCGCACTTCTGGTGTGAAAAGCTGTCGACTCGTCAACGATTTGTGCGAGAGGGGAAGCCACAGGGACCGTCCGTTGTATCTCCGGAGGGAGGGAGGGTTAGACTAACCCGCAGCGTAAATTCTGTCGGGTGGAAATAGTTTAATAACGTAAACTGGAGTGATTGACACGGGGTAGTTTTGAACAAAGTGGCCGGGACAAAAGGTCCGGGCGGCACAAAGAGACTTCACGCCTCTGTGGCCGTGTCACCGCCGGCCAATCACGAAGCCCGGTACCGTGTTTATTTGCAATTAGATTTGACAGCTGGTTGGAGTAACTCGATCGGGCCCCATGTGATCGGGCGAGCTGGGGGAAGGCGGAGAAAAATTCAGCCGCGCGATCGGGTTTCCGACGTGGTCCTGTCCCAAACCCGCGCGTTTGTTCCTTCCCACAGCAGTTTCCCAACGCCATGGCCCCTAAAAACCTCTCCCTACCGACTCCCTAACCCGGCCTGGTGGTTCTGTGGAGCTATGGGAGCAAAACTGGACAGTTTCGGGCCCGAAACGGGCAGCAGACGTTGCCGTAATCAGGACCTTATTGAATATGTGTCAGGTTGATTGATGGCCGACTTTGTCATTCTATTTTCATGACTACAGGGCATATCGTGCCAGCAAGACGACCCGCTCGCCCTGTCAGTGCAGTGCATGGAAGGGCATGGGGACGGGGCGAACGCTAGAGCAGGCTGTTCGCCCGCTCTACCCCGTCTTACTACGGCTACTAGTCATCGCCGTCCTGGTCCACAGAGGTAAGGAAACTACAGCATTCCTTCTCCTTTTGTCTCGGTTTCTGTGCTAAGGTAATCCTGGTGTCCCGGAGAAAGGAAATGGAGGGGATCAGTAAAAGCGCATGCCAGCGCCGCCGAGGGTGGGATAGGGTGTCCTGAGTGAAGTGGGGAGGGCGGTTGGTTGGTTAGGCTGCTCGCCTTGGGCGTTTGGTGGACTTTTATTTTGTTTTTAATAAAACCCAACAGTTTCTCTGACATGCATGTATGTTGTTGTTTCCCACCACCAGCACATTCGGACTCGGCGTGCAGAGTGACCAAGTGTAACTCAGAGTTCGTGGCTAGTACAGCGCCGCTAAACCCGGCGATCTTTCGGGACCTGGTGCTGTACTGCCGGGCACTACGGCAGGCGACCGACTGCGCCCGGCGTACGGCCAGAAACTGCCGGGGAGACCTGCACTACCACTCCACCATACGGGGCTTCCAGGCCCAGATGCAGTCACACAACTGCACGCATGTACCCACGGACGCACCCGTAGAGGAGTTCCCACCAGTTCGCCCGGGAAGCCCCCACGAGGAACATTTACCGCCGATGTGCGCGTACCGCGGCGGCCCCAGCACAGTCTACCGCCACTGCGGGCTTTTCGGGGACCCCCATTTACGGACGTTCTACGACGACTTTCAGACGTGTAAAGTAGACAGGGCCTGGCCCCTCATAGACAACGCTTACCTAGCAGTGCAAGTTACCAACGTGCCGGTAGCTGTAGCAGCATCGCACGGATTCACCGCAACAGCGACTACTAAGGTAAGACATAATTTTATATACTGTACAGTACGCCGATGTATCTTGACTTACTTACACCGGTTTAGTTTTGTGCATGCCCCGAAGTCGCATTCCCCAAACCAGCCCCTCACAAAGTACCCCCGGTTGGGTTACAAGGTTAGAACTAAGCCCTGTGTTTACTAGCCAGGCTGTTGGGACACGCCGTCGTGCCAAAGTTCATCTACCCGCGTACCTTTTGTACACTGGAAGGCACCAGTACAAAACGTACTCTACAAGCAGAGTTTTAGGCATCCACTTGTTGTTTTATGTCGTTTGCATCGAGATTTTTTTTGTATCTTCTAAAAATCAAGCTGAAAAAAAGCCTGATAGAAAAACGCCCAAAATAAACAGAAGCCTAACCCTCTACTCGGAAAGAACACTGTAGTGTAGGCATGAAAAAAAAAGTCACACACAAATAGGGGGTACTTCCTTCGAGCCCACTCGAGAATAGGTTTTTCACAGCTCTCGATAGCGTGCATGAAATATGTATAACCCTCTTCACAGGCACTCCATCCCCTGTTCGGCCGCGATAATCACTCTATGTGGGCCCCACTGAAAAAATATACAAACTCTGAAGCTAGAAGGCCACTTCTGTCTCGAATTCAAAAGTCATCCTTTGGTAACCGAAGAGCACACTTCAGTGGCAGAAACTTGTACTGAAAATACGAGTGTATCGTAGTTCCAACTCTGCTAGAACAAAGCACTGCACAGGTTATAACATGGCCTAAATAAACAATCAGTTGAGAGGTGACCTATTTTAGCTGATTATATTCTAAGCTGGCCTAATTCGGCATCATATTTCTTGAATGACAACTTGTAATAGAAAACATGATGACTTTTCGACTAGCACAATCTTGTTATCGTGTATTGTGGTTTCTTCTGAAAATAAAGCAAAAAAAATTCTGACACATCATTTTTGCAAGTCTCCCAAAAATATACCCAAATCGCCAACAACAATTTAAGAGATATGTATTGGATCATGAGTTATTTTAGATTTCAATTTGTAAAAAGAAAGAAAAAGCAAAAAATTGACAACAACAATGATACAGCCAAGCGTTTTAAGTTTTGGATTGGATTTGCTGCTGTGATTAAGACGATTATGAAAATGTTTTTAAAAAATCAAGTCACAGATTTTTCCCAAAACTTTCCAACAATACCCCGCATTTCTCCTGCCTACAGTACAGAGGAAATAGCTGTTAATCCATGTAACAACCATCGCTTTCATGTACAAGAAGAATTTTAAGATGCCTGGTTGCTGTAACCCTGGCAACGGTTAGAAGTTTGCACTTACAAAGAAAATACCACCCATGTAGACTAACAACATTAGTAATTCTAGAGTTGGAAGCCCCCAAAAAAGGGTTGTTTCTTCCCAAGACTGGTCCAGTGTTGACTTTCGTGCCTCTGAAAAAATTACAACAACAAACGATATGATACCACTATTTATCTAGCCTAGAAGTGTCCCGTAATTTGCATACATATCAGAAGCTCTGAAGTCCTGTGCAATCCAGCTTGCCACATCTAAGGACAAACCAGGCACAATCTCAGCAAAAGGGTATATTATTAAAGAATTTTATTCCTGTTGTATTAAATGGTATTTAATTTTGATGGGCATCCAACAACAGAGCTCTTGCAAAGTTAGAGGATGATGATGCCCTAACTGGTGCACATATTCACTGCAAAACGTCAAGATCATACAGTCTCAACTTTTGTCCTTGATCTAAGGTATTGCTGATCCTTTCTTGGTGAAGGAGAATTTGAACTTGTATCCTTAGCTCCCTACATTTAAATTATTTTGAAATAGATACCCTAAAATTAGGACGATTGCTTTGACAGTTGCTATACTGGCATGTGTTTGCTTATCTTCAGAATATTCATGGCTTCAGTTGTTTGTGACAAGTTTTTTTTCATGGTAATTTTGACCTACTGCTGTTTACATAGGCAACTAAAAAGAAAACAAAATACAGGAAATGAAGAAACCAGACCTTTTCCTACTGCATCACAGCTGGGTTCCTGTAGGGCTTCTGACTTTCTTACATAAACTTAAATTTTCATCTTTTCTCCAGTTCATCACAAGTTACTTTAAGCAAATGAGTTTCAATGGTTGTTGTCTCAACTTGTTGATGTAGCAGACATATTCAAAAATCATGGATCATAATTGCAAAGAAGTAAGAATTCTGACCAAATTTGAATGGACCATTGTGTTTTTTCAAGGCTTCATTACAATACATTGCATTATTTAATTCTTTTGTGCCCTTCAGTTAGAACTTAGAAGTGATTGTGAAGGGGAAAATATTAACAGCTGTAAAACTAGAAACCATATCGACAAATCTTGGATGATTGAAGTCTTAATTATAACCAAATTTTTTAATTTGTATGCTTGTGTTTCAAAGACTCGATTGCATTTCACTTCTGCTTTCCCTGAAAATAATTGTAGAGGAAGAAAAATTTGAATTAGCCTGGGTACCATCCTGGTTACCAGGATGGTACCCAGGCTAATTCAAAGTGTGTGGTTAATAGTAGTTGGTGGGAGAGGACATAAACTGACAAGGCTAAATTTGAATAGGAGTAGAAGATGTAATTTTGACAAATCATGGATCAACACAAATTCTAACCTGAAACAATTTTCTATACAATTATCTAATTTCTGTTGTTTCCCCCCTCCAGTTGATGTTGATCGTAAAGGGAGAAGTAGAACTAGAACTAGAACCATTGCTGTAGAACTAGAAGACGTAATATATGTACTCACAAATCACGGATCATCACATGAATTTAGAATAGTAATTTGTGCTTTTGAACACCGGGAACACCACAACAACATCCAGTCATTCTAAACAAGAGTACACCGGCATCTTCTTTCCTCCACCAGGACTTCTGCATGTAGCTAGAACTTTGCTGTAAACCAATGATTAGCCAGGAGTGTTGCAATCCAGGCTATTGTTTACATTAGCACATTTTAGGAAAAAAAAATCTAATTTCTCCTGTTCCCCCTGCAGTTGACGGTGATCGTGAAGGGAGAAGTGGCGGAGTGTGCGCGGGAAAAGGTTTACCAGGCGCAGCAGAACAACCTTCCCGATGCGTTCGCCGACGGGACGCGCAGCGGCGGGCCGAACGGGATCCGCAGCCTGGTGCTGGACGTGCGGGTCCCGGGCCGTCACGTGGAGATCCACGTGCGCTACATCGACACCACGATCGTGCTTCGCCAGATCGGGAACTACCTGACGTTCGCGATCCGCATGCCGGAGGACGTGATTAACACGGGGAACTTCGACGAGGACGGGTTGCAACTGTGCGTGAAAGGATGCCCGCTGAGCGAGAGAATAGACTACGTGGAATTCCTCAGAAACCCTCCGCAGTCCTCCTCGAACACGGTCTTACACCGTAGTGAGATTGCCATGCCGAAAGACATGGCGATTCAGAAGTGCAGGCAGAGCAACGTGACAGACTTCTACCTGGATTCCTGTGTGTTCGACCTGATGACCACGGGAGACGCCAACTTCACACTAGCAGCTAAGAGTGCGCTGGAGGACGTGTACAGATTGCACCCCAACCCGGGGAGAACTCACCGAAACAGAACGATCGAGTCTACAATCTCGGGGTCGCAAACGCCCGTGAACAGCGCCCCGTCCAGAACTCTGCCCAGGCGGACTCTCTCCCTGTACATGCTACTCATCTCCTGTATAATTTTATTAACTAATTGGTCTTATTTTGTAACATAACTAATATAATAATCTAATATATATTTCAATTATAAAAAAGACTTTATATACAACGCTCACAGCACACAACAGATGTACATATGTTGAGAAGAATATGTTGTGCTGTGCTTTTTCTACTATTAATAATTACGGTAGTAGCATTAGTATCGAAGGCACTTCTTATACCTGTACAAAACTTCCCCGAGCCAAAATTGAGCGAGGAACATAACTTATAAACGCTTCAGGAAACATCACGACTCTGTGTCGCCACAGAACTCAAGCTCTACCTCTCCTCCCCTTCTCCTGACCACCGGAACACATTAACAACATTTAGATTTAAGATGCAAAGAATACTATTGGTTAGTCGTAAGCTAAACAAGGCGTACTTCCCAAGTATTAAAGCAAGGTGCCTGAAAAGTATACAAACCTAGGAGGGCCAGATTTAAGTCAGAGGCAAACCAAGAAGCATATTTTGGGAGAGTGGGCTTATGTGACCAGTAGACTCTACATGTAAAGAAGAATTCTTTAGTAAGGCCAAAAAAACAATTGCTCATGCAACTGGATATGATATTTCAAAGTTATATCCAGTTGCTTGAGTGACTGTTTTTTAGCATAACTATTACCTGGATGTCAACTGACCACCCCATGAATGTACTTCTTAGTTTGTCCCTCATTTGATGTGGTACAACTGTCCCACAAAATACCACATCTCAAGCTCATACCTTCATAACTGTTCAAGGTTTTGGAAACACTGGATTTTTCTGGTGTAGACTTCTTTAGTCAACATGACAGAAAAGGAAATTTTTACTCATTTCCCAACTGTATTCGCAGTTCTGGCCATGCTCAGCTGACATTCGAAACCTCGGCCTAACCTACTTCACCTTGCAGTTGAAGCCATTTGAACATGGCCGTTCGGTTCTTGTTACCTCAGTTCGGTTCCTGTTGAGTAAAGATAAAAACACTTTTCCCCTCTACATTTCACCCGCCTAGACGCATGTGAGGCTTAGTTGTATATTTTAAATTATTCAAAAAAGACTTACTAAAAGTATTCCCCTTCTTCTAAGGAAGTTGTAAAGAATAAAGGCCTGTGAAAGGTTGTTTCGTCTCCAGTATGAGTGTGTTTGTGTCTTGTATATTGTGTGTTGTGCATGCTCGGTTCGGTTTCTTTTAGAGCAGTATTACCTGTATCCTAGTCAGCTATTAGATTTCGCTGTAGGTATCCCTGTAACTAGTAGTGTAAGTTCTCTCGTATGTAAACCTGATTTGGGTCGCCCAAATCCCCCTACCAGGGATTATCTCCCCAATTGCTATTCCTTATCACCTATTGGGCTATTTTAGATATCTATGGTGTGCGGTGGTACACAAAGGGCCCTTTCAATGTTTGTTCAAAGGGTAAACTGCGAGTGAATTAGAAAACGTGCTTGTTGTGCGTGTGGTGAATGAATGCCGAACACCAAAAGCGGTCCCACATCAAATGGTTCCCACTCACTTGGGGGCGTCCAACAGTCGGGCTTTTTTTTTGCATGCTAATACATGGTGACAACACCGTGGAAGAAAAGAAAGAAGACATACAACTGAGGAAATCTGTTTTTCTGTCCTAAACTGTTGCCAATCATGTTTGCTCGTAGAGTCATTTTGCAAACGGATGCTGTTGTCGTTATTGTATAGGTTAGACATATACTTCTAGTCGGGCTACATAACACATGTGGACGTGACTTGTATACTTACAAGTCAGGAAATCTGTTTTTCTGTCCAAAACTGTTGGCAATCGTGTTTGACTAAAGAGTCACTTTGTAAGCCAATACTGCCTCTGTTTTGTAGCTTAGATATACTTACGTATTTTTGGTTGGACTAACACACATGTGGGACGTGGCTGGTAGTGTTTTTTGGGCCACGTTTGAGGGAGAAGGTGGGAAAGAAATTCTAGCCGCGCGACGGGAAGCATTTCTTTGGCGCAGACAACAACTGGCCGCCTGTGGTGCAGGAGAGATGGGATAAATAATACAAATACTGCGAACAAAGAACAGCCAGCAAAGGGCGCGAATTCGGGTAGGCGGGTAGGCTGGCATGCAGTAACAATACGTTACTAGTACTGTTGGGGGGAGGGGGGATGTAGCCTCCTTTAGAACTGGGGGTTTGGTTTTCTTCGGCCGTTTTCTGATTAGCCCAGTTCTAAAAAATCGGGGGTGATCTGTTGTTTATATGCAATCAGAAAATAGCACATAAGAGCTCCCGAAGACCCCCCAAAACCCCCAGTTTTTGGCATGCAATGGACAGGCTAGAAGGAATGTCGGTTTGGCCTTGCTTTTCTGGGACTGCATGGGGGGAGGGGGCGGGCAGGGCAGGCGAGACCGATCGGCCGGGAGCCGGGAAGGGACCCCAAGTATGCGGGGGCTCATTTGCATGCGGTCGGACCCAGCAGGTGCGGACCAGGTGTGAACGGTGGACACACGTGTGCACACAAATACTCGGGCATGTGTTGACAGTCGGCCAAGCACCGTGATACCAGATCAATGGTCGTCAGGGCGACGCGCATTAATTTGCTTGTTTAAACAGGGGGGGTTATAAGCTGTGCTGTGTGTGCACGCACCTCCACTGACCAGGATTACTAGTTAGACCCCGCCTCGCACGGCCACAGTGGGTGGCGAGACCGTGGCAGGTCACAAACAAGGGTTAATTAAAAAAGGCGGAGCTTCATAAACACTCCCAAATATACTAGTGTATGTTATATCGCTGCCACAGATTTTTTCCAACTGTCCAGGACAAGATTTGAAAGTTTTTGGACGAAGAAAAAAGGACGAGGAGCGAAAAATTTAGGTGAAGAAAAAATAAATCAAAGACGTTCTTCTGCAAAGTCTTCAACTCCATAGTGAGGCATAGATGGGATATGGGGACTGTCCAATAACAGAGGGGGTTCGACAAGTTATCAAATGCGTGTCCCCCAAGGCCAAACTGACGTATGACACTCCGAAATCAAATATTTGCAGGTTTAAAGTCGACACACACTATTGAAGAGTTTGTTGAAAACTGTTCTGAGTTGGCAAACAAATACCCCGCACGGGTTCGGGGCGATCGGTCCCTTGGTGACATGTTTTGACCTCCTAGGTCATGGACATTTATTTATCTAGGTTTTTTTTTACCGCGTTGCAAATAATATGTAACGTTACAGTCGAACACTTAAATCTGTTACGTCGATGATGGTTAGACCAACTTAAATCTGTTGTGACACTAAAAAAAACTACCACTTGCAGTAGAGTCGATTTTTTCCTCCAATGTGATAAAAAGTAATGTCTAAGTTTTCTAATTTTAGTGTTAAAATGATTACGATGTATCATTTCATACAAGTTAATGCCAGGTTTCTTAGAGTCAATTAGTTTATTAAATACCCACATAACCATATATTCTGCTTTCATTCAAAACGATTTAGCTAATATGAAAACTCAACGTAGGCTTGAAATGACATTGACGATAACAAAAATGTGTGTGGGGGGGGGTGCTCTCCCATATGGAGCCCTAAAACAGTTGTAATGGTCTCCTCCACCCGTCAGCATCAACATTGGTCCTTCCCTTCTTCCTCCTCCTTACCCCACCCCACTCCCAGCACGAACCTCCCCCAATCGCCGCGAACAAATTGATCATTGACCGATCTACCAACGAGTTACAAAGCGATGAATACCATTGCCTGAGGGTGTGGAAGGCAGCCGGGCTATCTGGAGCTGGCAAAGCCGACTCTCTGACTGACTTCCCCCGAAAAGTCCCCGGTGGGATTTCAACCCGAGACAGCCGCGCGCATCTGCTAAACATTTGAAGCGCGGATCCTGTTGGCACGCAATTTACGGCACGGATGCCTGCCTTGATCCTGGCAGGAACTCCGGTAGATTGCACGGTCACGTCGGGAAAGTGTGGCGTGTCAGCAGCGCCCACATGTGGAAATGGAAAGCTTTGCAGGAAGCTCGCCTTGGACTTGATCCTGGCAGGAACTTCACGGTCACGGCGACAGGGTGGGGACAAGTGGAACGTGTCAGCAGCGCCGACAGGCGGAAATAGAAAGCACTGCAGAAGTACAACCCGTCAGTAGCGCCGCCCTGTCGAAATTTTAATCTGTGATACAAAAAGAAAACCTTATGATGAACCCTCGTTAGGCGCCCCCGGGCGGTTGGGAGTTTCGATACTACCACATTGAGTTATTGAGCGAGTTTTATAAAACGTTAATGCGTTCTTTAGCCGGCCATCCTACAACCAGCCGCCCAGGGATCCTAAACGACGTTGCCGGCTGGGTGTAACTAGAGTAGAGATTTTCCAACTAAAAGCCTTCTAACCAATAAACGGGTTTATCAATTTATGGAAATTAAATATTACTTTTTTGCAAACAGAAAGTTGTGCAATACAAGTTTAGAGCACTCACAATGCCGTTTTATGATATCCACAAAAATATTTGGAATCGCCCAACGCTGATAATTTTATAAACGTGTCAATGTAAATGGCATGTACATGCATATGTGCATGCGTCAGTGTGTGAATTTGTAATGTGTGTGCATGTAAATGTGTGTTCGAACACTTACGTGTGTATGTATGTCTGCATGACTGTGTGTGTGTCTGTGTAAGTTCAATTGACAGAGAAGACGGTTGTCTGTAAGAGAGAAGACAAGAAGTCCGAGGAATCAGTGACATTTATTTGCTCCAACCCTCGCAGGCTAAGAACACATGGAGGTGGTCCCTGGTCGGACCACTGTATGTAGGTTTGATGGGTTCTGGGGACAGTAAGTAAAAATGGCGGTACGGTATTGCAGACTGGAAAATAAAGGCTTCATCTCCTTAAATAATTACTTTTCTGACACGGAAAGCATCACAAAGCACTGTCTATCCTCCACAAGTCTCTACCTGTAGCCTGGGTGCCAGGGCCAGAATACAGGCTAGCTCCATGGCTCCAAGTCTAGCCTGGATGCCAGTCCGTTGTCAGGGCCAGTGTACAGGCGAGCTCCTTGGCTCCAGGGCTAGCCTCTGTGCCGGACTTGCAAAGGCCAGTATACAGGCTAGCTCCTCAGCTCCAGGACTAGCCTGGGTGCCAGACTGTGGCCAGGGCTAGTACACAGGTTAGCTCCTTGGCTCCAAGGCTAGACTGGGTGCAAAGGGCCAGTATACAGACTAACTCCTTGGCTCCAAGGCTAGCCTGGGTGCCACAAGGCCAGTATACAGGCTAGCTCCTTGGCTCCAGGGCTAGCCTGGGTGCCAGACTGGGTGCCACAGGGCCAGTATACAGGCTAGCTCCTTGGCTTCAGGACTAGCCTGAATGCCAGACTGTTGCCAGGGCCAGTATACAGGCTAGCTCCTTGGCTCCAAGGCTAGACTGGGTGCCACAGGGCCAGTATACAGGCTAGCTCCCTGGCTCCAAGTCTAGCTTGGATGCCAGTCCGTTGTCAGGGCCAGTGTACAGGCTAGCTCCTCAGCTCCAAGGCTAGACTGGGTGACACAGGGTCAGTATACAGGCTAGCTCCTTTGGTCCAGTGCCAACCTGTCCCCCAAAGAAATTTCTATACACACTTCTCGATCTCAGGGTCTAACTTGGGGATGGCCTGTATTTTTGGTGCTGAGAACAGTTTGGCATCCAGGTTACTCTAGCAGACGGTTAACGTAACACTCGATATATGCCTTGTGCGAGGGGTGATGTTGAGGCATCTAAACGGCTTATAAATATAGAAGTGTGCCATTATTTCGCGATGCCTGCCTATAAAAAAATGGCTTCACAGCTTAAGTCAAACCCACTGCCGAGGAAACGTGTGCAGACGCCATTGCCACTGGAAGTTTCGTCTGCACAGAGACTTTTGTTTTTCTTCACGACTATTTAACATCAGAGGGCATAAATACAAGCATCGGAACCTGTAAATTATTATTAAGTTATCTTCTCTTCCCTATTTACAACAGCCGTTTTTGTAACAATCATACAAATAGTTTATTATTCATCTGTGATACTCTGTTTGAAAATTGGTCTCGTGTCCACGTAAAGTTCTTTCTTTTTTCCTCTCTTTACCTCTGGTGCAACATATCATTTTCACTAAGACAGGATTCTCCTCCTGACGCGAATGTCTGTCAGTGTCTCGAGTCTGTTCTTTCGTTACTTCTATCCCCGTGGTCGAGGGGAGATCTGTGTTCTAAGGGCGATCTGTGCTCTAGAGGCGAGCGGTGTTCTATCAAAGCCCTGTGGTCCTTTGGGTCCTCCCTGGTTCTACTACTAGAATGTTCCTGCGTGTTTGAGGACCTGTGTTCGCTACTGTCTTTCCTCGACTTCTTCTTGCCGTCCGAAGACGAATAAGAGTCATCCTTTTTCCTGCGCTTGTGGTCCGACTGAGAATGGTGCAACCTCTGATCCCCGCCGCGTTCCCCTCCCGAAGACGAGTGACCACCGGATTCGGTGCGACCGCTCCGATGCGAACCGTCTTCCTTGTTCCCGGCGCGGTCTCGGTGTCTGGAAGAAGAGTCCCGGGACGAGCCTGAGTCCCGATCTCGGTGGTCCCGCGAGGACCGGTAGTCCCGGTCGCCACGCTCGCGATCCCGGTGGTCCCTCTCCCTGTCCCGCTCGCGGTCACGATCCCAACGGTGGTCCGCGTTGTACCGGGAGGAGTCCCGCGTCCGGTGGGAATCGTAGTCGCGAGCGCCCGGCCGGTTGTACGCACTGCTGACCTCCCCTCGATGCCTGAAATGTAGTCAAAAGCATAGCTGAAATTGATATGCATGTACAGATATCTCCTCGGCATTAAAACCATCAGTCGAAAGGAGATCATACTATCAATTGTCAAAGGCACTGCACACACATTCCCTCACTACTCCTTTATTTCTCTCTAGTTGGTCACTTTTATTCACTTCATCCCAGTACAAGTAAAACACTTTCAATCGCAGGCACTAGGCAGGTTTGTCAAAGGAGATTAGAAATCCAGATAGAACATAATCAACAAACGGTAAATTCTCTGAGGAGTAAAATGTTTTGGATATAATCTGCTATCTGATGAAAGCTAGGGGGTTTCTTGAGAGTTCCTTACCTTTCCCTGAAGGGGTCCCTGCCGGGCTGGTACCTGTCGTGCCCCCACCTGTCCGCCCCGCCTCCCGTGCCGGCTCTCCCCGCCGTGTGGCCGTAACTTGAGCTGGTGCCGGGCCATGGGCCGTTACTCGTGAAACTGCACAACAAAAACATGTCTTAGTACAGGCACTAGACATAGTAGAACACATACACACACAAGCAAGCACACACAAACACACACACACACACAAAAACACACACACACACCAAAGCAATACCATTCTCATGAGCGATCAAACAAATCCAAAGCAAAGGCCAGCAGACCCTGTTGCACTTTGTGAAGGCATCTTCACCACGTGTGCGTGTTGGCTTCCCCCCCCTCCCCCAGCCACTGCTAAGCAGACACCCCTCCCTCCCCCCTTGCTGTGTCTCCCGTCTCACCTGTCCCTGCTAGCGGAGTCACTTCCCCACCCTGACGTCCTCTCGGAACCCTGAGAAGGCCTCTTCACCACGTGTGCGTGTTGGCTGTCCGACGGTTCTTTCTTCACGATCGTGGAGTTGGAAGTCGCCGTCGGCTTGGTCTTTTCTTTGGTCTGCTTCTTTGGGAAATTGGGGAAAGGACCTCTAGGTCAAGCTTTTCTTGCTTTATTTAAATTACAGCAACACTACTGTATGCAAATTCTTCACAAAGCACTTTTTTGACTTTGACTAACCTAGTTTTATCTGGTAGAGGTTCATTTTTTTCATTACATTTTGACAATACAGATAGTGACTGTCCATGAGACTGATGTTAAGTGATCTTAAAGATACAAGTATTCAGGACCAAGTCACAAAACTTTGTACTGTAAGGCATGACATTCCTTATGAAAAAATGGCCAGCTTCTTTTACAAAAGGAAATCATTGAACAAAAATAACTTTTAAGTGCTAGATATGATAATCAACAAAATTAACAAACCTCTTTCTCCTCCTCCCTCTTTTTGACAGCATGTTTGTATAGTTTGAAGAGTTTCCGGGCATCGAACTCCGTGAACTTGGATACGAATATCCAGAGATTACTGGAAAGACGACAGAAACATTGTCAGTCATGAATGGACAAGAATGGCACAGACACTAAATTTCTTTTATTCAACACAAGTTACAGTAAATTAAAGCACTTAATAGTACATTACAACTTCGTCATAACAAAGACACCTTAGCTATTTCTACACTGAGTTGATAGAAAGTTTAGATATGCATGTTACTATTGTTAGTTAACCCCAACAAAAACATTTTTCAAGCAATTGTATGTACCCTCTCCTGATACATAGACTTCAAAAACAACTGCATTGCATATTTCTAAATCTAAGTCTGATGGCATTTTTTTTATTATGTGTGCGTGTGCCAAATTGATAAAATTAAGATCCACACTTACTTTCTCCACTTCTTGACTTCCTCGGCGTCTGTCCATTCCTTCAGGCACTCCATGATGCGGTCACCTATTTTCAGCAGGCACTGCCTGGTGTGGTTCAGCTGTTCCTCCTCCGTAAGGCCCTCCTCAGGCTTGTCCAGCTGTTTTAGTGCCTTTTTAACTGGTCTCATTCTCTCCTTGCACTGTTCAGGGGAAAAGATATGAAACAGAATCATTCGATGTCCGGTACAATTCTTCCAAGCTGCAATTTTTATGTGTAATCTAAACAAAAGGCAAAACTGCTGAAGACATGCACTAAGGGGACTGATAAAATCTAGTCAATGTGACAGGTGGTCACTATAGACAGGAGTCTAAATGCTTGTGTCAATGGGAAAATTATCTGAGAAACCAGCAAAAAGTGGTTCTAATGTAGGTGGTCACTGGTCGAGATTTGACTGTACTGTACTCTTGTGGCTGAAAAGAATATTTTCATTAAACAAGAAATCCTCACATCAATACATACCATGTTGAAGGTTTCCTTGCCCAGATCGTCCATGTCTTCTAACACAGAGTGTTGTGATGCGTCCGGGTCCAGGTCTGTGTTCAGGGGCTCTTTCTTGTTCTTCTCCTTGGGTTTTGCTGGTGTTGTTTTGTCAGCAGACTGAGGGGAATAATAAACAAAGGTATTAAGAGAATAAATCAGACAGTAATACATTATAAGTATTCTTAGTTACAAAATCACGTAGAAAAACTTAGAGACATTAACCATAACCTTGAAGATACTAGTCTGTAGACAAATTCAAATCTACAACCAACGGTAAGACTTGGAGAAGAGATGCTGTTCTACTAACCCGAGGGATCGTTAAGACTGTCACTAAGCAAATTTGTTGACGAAAAAAAGAAGAAAGATGTACCCTTTGACAATTTTGAAAAAAAAAAAAAAGATGAACTCTTTGACAATTTTGGGGGTTTTGGGTTTCTTGGCCCGTTTGACTTTAGTCTTGACGACGGGCTCCTTGATGTCGTTTTTTTTATTCCTTACTTCCTTCTTTTTTTTGTAATGGCAACTTATTTAAGTGGCACTGCCTAGAAATTATTACTGAGCAAATTAGTTTTATAAAATATCATACCTCTTTAACAATCTTGGGTGTTTTGGGTTTCTTGGCCCGTTTGACTTTAGTCTTGACGGCCAATTCCTTGATGTCCGTTTTGTCACTTTTTTATTCCTTCTTTCCTTCCTTTTCTTGTAACCATAACTTATTTGATTCCTAGAAGTTGTCTCTTGACCATGTACTAAGCAAATAAAAACAAACAAGTACCCTACCTCTTTGACAATCTTGGGGGTTTTCGGCTTCTTGGCCCGTTTGACTTTAGTCTTGACGACAGGTTCCTTGATGTCAGTTTTGTCATTGCTGTCCTCCACCTCCCCCTCTTCGAGCGGTTCCCGATGCTCCTCTGGATCGAAGTTTGGTTCGTCCACCGGAGCCTCGTTCTCCTTCCGCTCCACGAACTTGACCTTGGCCTTGGGTCTCTTCACCGCGGTCGGGTCTTTGGGCTGTTTGGGCATCCGGGGTCTTCTCTCCTTCTTGATGACCTGCATAAATGTACGACAACAGGAGAAACTGAGTTTGTGATTAGGCCACACTGATTTAATTTTATGGATTACATCTGTGTGCACATTGAGTTTCGCCTGTTCACACAAGAAAAAAAAATCACCTCCTCTGATGCTCTGGCCTGGGTGCCATCCCCTGTGGTCCATGGTACATGTAGTTAGGGAGCCGGCGGTAACTATAGAGGATGGCAACGAGGCTGCTGAAGCTCCATGGAACTCCAGAACACAGTACAGTACCGACTCATAAATGCCACAAAAGGCCAGCACGTGCTGGCTTGTTGTAAAAGTCACTATGGACTACCACAAACTTACAATACCAGCTTTGTATTCCTGTGGTTTAGCAGCATTTTTTTGGCCTGATTTTTTGGCCTGATTTTTGATGTGGTCTCCAAAAATTCAAGATTACTTCATTTTAGCACCAAACCCAAGACCTGCCTCACCTTCCCCTCTGCGAGTGCCTCCTTCTTGACTTGGTCCTTGTTCAGCAGTCTGATGAGGTACTCTGCTCGGGACTGCAGGTGTTTGGCCTGGGGCTTTTTATCCTCATCCAGGAGAATCTGTGGGATGGAGAAACAACATTAATTAGTCATTAGTCAAAGATGCTAGTGTGTGAAAGGCAGTGTGGTGTGTGTGTGTGTGTGTGTGTGTGTGTGTTTGTGTTCAGTGTGTGTTTTGTGTGTGTGTGTGTTTTGTATTTGTATTTATTAAGAATGAAGAGACTCATTACACTGGGTCAGCCAAGGCAGCTCATGCTGGTAACAGCTGACCCACAATACAGACAAACATACAAAATAAGAGTGTGCGTTTGTGCGTGTGTGTGTGTGCCTGTGTGTGTGGGTGTGGGTACATGTGTGTGTGTGTACATGTGTGTGTGTACATGTGTGTGTGTGAGTGCATGTGCATACCTGTGCACATGAAGTTTTATACCTTATCTGACAGATTTAGCTCAGGGTCCATCTGCACTATATCCCAGCTGCCCATCCCGTACTCGTGTGTGTGTTTGTGTGTGCGTGCGCGTGCGTGCGTGTATGTGTGTGTGTGTGTCGGCTACATGCTTGTGCACATGTAGGACCTACCTTATCCGACAGATTTAGCTCCGGGTCCATCTGCACGGTGTCCCAGCTGCCCATCCCGTACTCGTAGATGCCCACCAGCAGAGCGGAGTCCTCCTCCGCAGCCCAGTCCACGTCCCAGTGGGCCAGCTTGGCCCTGCACGGCAGCCGGAACTTCTTCCTCTCCTCTGGGTCCTCGGGAATCGCCTTGGCCAGCGGCAGCATCTCCTCCTCGTGTCTCAGGATGGACGGAGCGTTCACCGTCACTGTGGACAGCTTCAGGGTCGGGCCGCGCTTCTTTCCTGTCATCAGAGGAAACAGCAACAGTTAATGATTTGTTTTGTATATTTGTAGTACTTATCTGCACAAAAAAAATACAGAAAAATTAATCTAAACACGTGAACAGGAGAGAAGAAGCTTGAATGGCTGATACTAAGCCCTTCTCCTTTAAACTTACCAAATTATAAATGCAATCCTAATTAGAAGAATAAAATAGAAGACAAAGCAGATGGACTATGGAGCTTCTTGGAGTTCTACATGAAAACATAATGTGGAAACCGAACTGTGTCTCTATTCAGAAGCTGACAGCAACATACAAGAGAGCTCTATCATTACATAACAGGCTTTGTCTATTTGATGCTTAAAGGCTTGAATGGGTTGAAAAGGTGTTAGGTTACAATTATTCCAAAAATGTTGCTAATCTAAATAAATAACCAGATAAGGTTTCTAACAACAACTTGCCATCGAATTCTGGGTTCTCCTTCATCTGTTTCTCATACTCCTCGATAGCCTTGACGCAGCCGTCGTGTAGCAGGTCTCCCAGTCGCTTCAGGTCTGCGTACGACTTCTCCTGCAGCTCCGCATCGCCTGCTATAGCCTCTAACCTGGAGGGGGGGCAGACACAGGGACCACAGTTATCAAACAAGGACTGAGGTGTTAAAAAATAAGCTATAGCCTCTAACCTGGGAGACAGATGCAAGGACACATAAACAAGTTGATATGTAGAACGACAACTGTGGTTTAGGAGATCAATCCATAACAGTAAGTGATGAGGGACCATAACAAAAGGAAAACCTTGTACACGATATTGGAAGGATATACAGAAAACACAGATTGACAGATATGGTACAATTTTAATGATCTAACATTCTTAGATGGAACACTGCAAATCTTTAGCCAGAAGCTGTAGGCTGATGCAGGTTGTACTCACCTTGTGAGGGGCATACCAAACTTCTTGTAGCTCTTAACAAACCTGAAAGGCAATGAAAAAATGTACTGTGAAATGAAAATATGCTTAGTAGGGGAAGAAGCAACAATATTTTTAAAGCTTTTCTTTGAGCAGAAATGGTTATTTACTACTCTTAATAAAGGCCACTGAATTGTGCAGTGTTGGGTACAGTATATTCATTGATACATCACCAACTTGTCTGTACTCATGTTTCTTTTACCCATTTTGTAATTATGTATTTTGTCATTGTGTTTTACTTTCGTTTTATGTTTTTTAGTACAAGGCATCACAAAAGCAACTATGCTTCTTGCCTTTTTTTTTCTTTCAATTTGAGGCAGCCGCCTTCAAATAGATAAAGATTCTGCTGCCTTTTGGGGCTAGTACGAAATGGGGTTCGCCAGGCCTCCATCCGGGTGATTTGTAGTGAATCACCAACTCCCAGACAGTGATAGTTTTGTACCATCGCACACCGGTGCATGCCCCTTACTCTTTTTTTCGAAAGGTGCGGTGGGTTCTTTAACGTGCGCGGGGTATGGCTCTCCCCAAACACGGGACCTCCATTTAACGTCCTATCCAAGGGACGTCCCTAACCGAGGCTAGGTACTCATTTACACCTGAGTGAAGTGAGGAAAGTCCAAAGGGCATTTCCCAAGGGCATTTCCCAAGGGCACAAGATCAGTGACAAGGGACCTCCTGGTTCCGAGCCAAGGACGCTACTGCTACGCCACATGACCCCGCAATATATGTCAATAAAAGAAAAAAAAGAAGTACCTCCTGACTTCGGGGTCGGAGAAGCCCTTGATGGTGTCCCTGGGTACGGTCCTGGGCCGGCCGCGCTTGCGAGGCTTGGCGTCGGCGTCGCTGTCCGAGTCACTCTCGCTGCTGGACGAGGCGCGTTTCCGCTTCCGCCCGCGACGGGTCGAACCCTCCGACTCACTCCCGTACTGCAGCTGAGGTGGAGATGTTAACATTTATTTATTCATTTATTTATTTATTGCATTGGGTGTTCAGCCCTCACAGTCAGGGCAGCCCAACTAGCCTTTGGCTATTACAATGGGCTTGCCCAGCTGACAAGACATGACTAAACATTACGGCAACATATAAGGTGGCTTAATCTGCAAGACACATGTAACATTCCATTCACAATTTACACACATCAAGAGCACTACAACATGCCCGGCAGGTTTTTAGTTATTAAGGGGAGGAAAGAAGGTAGCAAGAAATTTAGTAAGTGCAGTTCACAACATTGGGGATTGTTGGGGATTCAAACCTAGAACCTATATAATAATAAGTCAGCAACCCTAACCACAATACCCTTTATGAACTGTCTAACTGGGATTTGAACCCAGAACCTTTAGATTCTAAATTAGCAACCCTAACCACAAGACCACCCATTACAACCACTGAGATTCTAACCCAGAACCAGAAGAACCTTTAACACAATCCTTAGACCACCCCACCTTGGTGACAAACTTCCTCTGCCTGGGCGGTAGATGCATCTCGATCAGTTCTCGTTGTTTTTCCTCGTCGTCGACCTTCTGCCGCTCGGCGGCGGGGATGATGTCTTCCCACGTCTTCACGGCCGGCTCCGGCGGGAGCTCCTCTTCCATTGTGGAGAAGTTCGCAACTTTGAACTGTGAAAGCAGCTCGTGCCCTGCGCCCGCGTCGTCTACCATTTCTGCTGTCTCCGCACGGCGCAGGATCTCATCTATGTCCATTTCCTGTTAGGACCAATAACTTTATCTATCATGGTGGGTTTGTGGTAAGAGGGAAAAGGGGGCTTTCACAGTGATTTGACTTCACACTTGAAGTCTGCAGAAATTATATTAAATCACTGAATTCTTTGACTGAAATATGCAAATATTCATTTATTCATACATTCATTATGATAGTAACATCTTTTTCTCGAAACACAACAATCATCATTCATGAAACTTAACTGACAAACTTACAGGCATCTCTTCTTCCTCCCCTTCATTCTCCTTGAAGAGGTCCTCAGCACCAAATTTCAGGATAGCAGACAGCTCTTCCTTGTTAAAAGGTGTGGAAGTGCTAGAACAAAAGGAATAATCATTGATGTAATTGTAAACTCTACAAACAATTCTACCAGGTCACACATATCAGTGACTGGGAAAAAACAATCTACGATGCAATGTCAGCCAATAAACTGTGCTAAACTAGAGCTTTCTAAAGCACACTGTTTTTCAAGGTGGGAGTAGGTATATGTAACATGGCAGATATATGTGTATGGGCGTTAACCATAGTCAAAGTCATACTTTGTACAGCCACTTAGCACAAAGTCATTCTCAATCATTTTTCCTATCAGTTTGAAACGTCATGTTTATGTTAGATATTGTAGTGAAAATCATGTGGCATCACGCACCTTGCAAGCCAATATGCTAGCTGGATTCCAGAACCTTTTCATTTGTTAGTCCATTTCACTTTATATCAATCAACATTTTTCTGTATGTTGAAGAGCAGTGTTCTTTGCATGATATCAAACTCCATAAGCTGCATACAGCAAATTACCAGGCAACACACAGGCATGCTAAATTCCAACATGTCACCTACCATAGGTTTCCACCACCACTTTGTTTTCAACATGAAAGATGAAGGACAAAACATTTTTTAAACTACTGTAACAGGAACTTTGTTTATCCTTAAGTGAATTCCTATGTTTCATTAAAATGTTATTGTAATTTATTGAGCTCCAAGAAGAATAGTGTTCACTACATGAAAAACACTGATGGAGATCTGGATAAAACAAAACCACATTCTGGCATACTCATTTCCACCTGAGGGAAGTCGTGTTGAGTGCCTTTCCCAAGGGCACAAGGTTGGTGACTCAGCAGGATTTGAACCCGGGACCTTTGGGTTTTGAGCCGAATGCTCTGCTGTTATGCCACACAAATCCACAAACCGAATGTAGCTTATGTAGTAGCGTGCGTAGTCCAGTGGTTAGCGATCCTGCCTCTGGACTAAGAGGTTGGCAGTTTGAATCCCGGCTGTTGTCGCTCACCCGACATGCACACTACTGTTTAGGGTCGCAGTCCTTAGGACGGGACGTTAAGCCGTGGTCCACTGTTCATTGCGCTTGTCGAAAAGAGCTAGGAGAATTTCCCTGGTACAATGAACCTGTAAATACTGTACATAGCACCTGTCTTCTGTCACGACCAGTGGAAGAGTAGCTCTTCAATGAGCTAAACTGGTTCGAGATCACTTTCACAAACTGAATCTGTTGCTCACCTGGAAGGAGCAGATGACTTGGAGAGGACAGTCCGTCCCGATGTGTCCATCCTCTGGATCACCAGGTGGTCCAGAACCATCTTCTTCTTCGCTCTCTCGATGATGTCCTCCTCCACACTGCCTTTGGTCACCAGACGGTAGATGTTCACCTGTGGGGGGACAAAAGGCAAGGGTTAGGAAGGTAAAAAAACAGATTGTGTGCAACTTAGCGTTGTGGTCTGTGTTACACAAGGAAAGGAGGTCTGGAAGACAGCCGCCCACCTATACATGTGGATGTGCAGAAAAGACACACAGGTCTACAAGCGGATGGCATGGGGAAGGCTCTGCAATACAGAAGTTTAAAGCTATGTGGTTCTAGTGGCAGAGTCTGAAGAGAACTGGCACTCAACATAAGACAAGTATCATGTTAGGTTTAGAGAATGCCTCAATTTGGCCGCACTGCACTTAAAATTTCATCTAAACTGAGGATGATCGGGTGAAGATCTTACCAATTCTTAGGCATCACATTTCTAGGAATCAAAGGGAAAGCATTGCTAGAAATGTTGCACAGTAGGCTAGTGTGTATCTTCCCCCCACCTGTTTCCGCTGGCCTATCCTGTGTGCCCTGGACTGTGCCTGGATGTCGTTCTGCGGGTTCCAGTCGGAGTCGAAGATGATGACGGTGTCGGCCGTGGCCAGGTTGATCCCCAGCCCTCCCGCTCGCGTTGACAGCAGGAAACAGAAGTCCTGATGAAAGGACAAAAGAACATTTGAACATCTGTTCTGTTACAAATACACCAAGCCTGAGCATCAGTGTGCAAGCACATCTAACCCTCGGAAGACGAGGACCAATTAACATTAAAGCGGATAGTGAGTGTGTGTGTGAGTGTGAGTGGAGTGTTTGCCGTGCATTGGTAGGCCACGAGTTTGATCTCCAACCCCCCGCTCGTGTAGACAGCAGAAAACATAAGTCCTGATAGTGGTACAGAAACATATAAAAACCTGTGCTACCACAAATATAAAATAGGAGTAGAATGTGTGCCTTGGATTTGGTAGTTTTATCCCCAGCTGAGGCGTACTAAAGACTTGAAAAATGGCACGTACTGCTTTCTCTGCCTAGCACCCTGCTTTTAGTATAACCCAGATATGCTGATGGTATCAGAACTTGGGTAGACCCTAGAGCATGGGTCCAATTGTGAAGAGCACACACCAAGCTACTACTTTTCTCTCCTTGCTGGCTCAAGGTATAACCATCAAAGGTTTGATGAACAAAGGAGCAATATTGGCCAGAATACAAGAGGCTTTCGACAATCACAACACTAGACGTGAGCCAGAGACTCAGAAAGTTCCCAAAGATAGAGGAAGAGTGAGACTAACCTGAGATCCCTCAGCATTGAAGTGGTCCAACGCTTGTCTTCTAATCTCACCCTTGATGGAACCGTCCAGTCTCTGTAACAAATGGACAGAACAGATAAATACAGACATGCCATGTGATACTGAATGTGCAAACTCTTCTTTTATAATGGTTGTCAGCATATATTTATAGAAAGAGAGAGAGAGAGAGAGAGAGAGAGATATGTAATTGACCTTTCGATATGAGATACCTAAGGCCATTTGGACGGGTAGCAAAAGTGTAGGCCCTGGACATGGAGAACCTAACCAAGGGAAGCAAGGGCCTAGCTACTCTACTAGGCACACAGGCACATGTACCTGTTCCTTACTTGGAATGGGAAGTGTTTCATAGTGAGGTACTCAGTCAGAATATCCAGGGTTAGAGTTTAAGGGTCAGGGTTATGGTTTAAAGGTCATGGTTAGGGTTAGGGTTACAGGTCATGAACCTTACCTGGAATGGGAAGTGTCTCATGGTAAGGTACTCTGCCAGGATGTCAAGGGTTAGGTTTATGGGTCAGGGTTTAAGGGTCATGGTTAGGGTTAGAGGTCATGAACCTTACCTGGAAAGGGAAGTGTCTCATGGTGAGGTACTCTGCCAGGATGTCCAGCATGCGGACCATTTGGGAGAAGATCAGGACGCGGTGCCCCGTGTCCCTCAGCCGAACCAGCAGCTTGTCCAGCAGGAATAACTTTCCACTGCTCCTCAGGAGTTGCTGCAAGACACACACGCATCTTAAGAAAGCAGTCTTTAGACTTAGACTTTAGCAACAGAGCAGGTTCATAAGGCAGGGCTGGAAAAAAGCACCTACCCTTAAAATTTAGGTCCAGAGGAAATGAGTAGAATGTCTGCAATACCTCTGAAAGTTACTACCTCTCTACATACGGACCACCTAGCCAATGTGACCACTGTTTTGATGGTCACTTATAAGTTATATATTTTTCCCATTGACACAAGCTTTAAGCATCCTGCCTATAGTGAACACCTGTCCACATAGACCAGATTTTATTGGTCCCCTGTGGCTTTTGGCAAGTTTTGACTGTACAAAGGCAAGAACTTTGCAATCCAGACAGAACTGAACAAGCTTGCAGATGTGTCCTATGTGGCAAAGAATGCCAGTCTTCAATAGGACTCTTTTGAATAGGCTAGAGCTGATGCTGTAGGATTTTTATGTCACTTCAGGGTTTCATTATTGTTCAAAAGTAAGAGGCTCTTTACACATCAATGTACTATTAATGATTTTATAATTAATGTGTAATGCTTTTAAATGAATGTTACAATTGACGAAATCCATCCTGGTGCTGCGAAGTCGTTTGAAAATAAACCATTTAAGTTTGATTGATTGATTGATTGGTTCTACTATGGTCTATACTGATCAGTAGAGGCTAAGTACTAACCGTGACGAGGCTCTGTCCAGGCGGAGGGTCCTCCGGGGGTCTGACCAGGAAGGAGTGGTTACAGCACTTCTTCAGCTCCATCATGATGTTCAGGAAACTGCTGGTGTTCCCCTTCATCCCCTTCGTCAGGGCCTTGTAGTTCTTTGTCAGAATCCACCTAGGAGTAACGAAAAAACGTTTGTACCATACTTTAAATGTAAAAATGTTTGTTCCATACTTTAAACGTGGGGTCGTGTGGCATAGCGGTAGCATGTTCGGTCCAGACTCAAGAGGTCAAGGGTTCGAATCCTGCCTGATGCTACCGATCTTGTGTCCTTGAGAAAGGCACTTTACACGACTTTCCTCACTTCACTCGGGTGTAAATGAGTACCTAGCTTCGGTTAGGGACGTCCCTCGGATAGGTTGTTCAATGGGGATCCCGTGTTTGGATACGGAACAGGATTACTTTATTAGGGGATAAAGGAGGCAGTTTACATCAGGGCCCATCAACCTTCTCTGAACTGTGACTGTGGTAGATTCCGTCTTCTCACCACTTTTCATGTGATCCTGACGTTTTTGACTTCCGAAGAGTCAGCGAGTGCATCACACGTCTGACAAAGGTTGACGAGATCGACTGAAAATTTATTTTTGGTGAGTTTCCTTCTTGGGCGGGAACAAAGCTTGAACCAACACAGATGAGCTTTTATTTGAGTGTCTGAACCTGTAAAACTGTTTCTGTATGGCCAACATCTCCACCCTGAGGATCTGCTCCACCTTAGCAGGGTTAGGGTTAAAGTTAGGGTGCAGGGAGAGGGTTAAGACCTAATACAGAAGGTTTCTGTACCTATAAAACTGCAGTAAGACCTTGTGGAAGGTTTCCTTACCTGCAAAACTGTTTCTGTATGGCTGACATCTTTGACATCTGACTGAGGATTTGCTCCACCTTAGCAGGGTTAGGGTTAAGGTTAGGCAACAAGGAGAGGGTTAAGGTGCAGGGAGAGGGTTAACAAACTTGTTCAGACCTTGTAGAAGGTTTCCTTACCTGTAAAACTGTTTCTGTATGGCCGACATCTCGACTCTGAGGATCTGCTCCACCTTGGCGGGAAGGGACTTCTCCACGTCTTTCTTGACCCTCCTGAGGAGGAAGGGCTCCAGCTCCTTGTGCAGGCCAGCGTAACCGTTCTTGTCGGCGTTCTGATGCTCATCCTCAAACTCTTCCCACTTCAGGAACCTGCAACAGGAGGGTAGCACATTACAGTGACATCTAAGTGGTCAGAGCTGTAGAACCTTGAGGCCATGGGTTCAAATCCCTAGTAGTAGTAGGCCAAAAAGTTGTGCCCTTGGGTAAGGTGCTTTACACCTATTTTTTCACTACAAGACAACATCACAAACCAGCAATGGAGGAGCGATAGGAACAGAATCTGCAACAGAAGGGACAACGAAAACCTCTCTAACTGGCAATGTACCGACCCTGACTGTCAATCACAATTAGCAGTTCAACCAATGATAGCATGAAACTGTACCTGCACAAGATTAGCCAGTAAGTTAAATGTGTACTCCCTTTCTTTGTGTTAAAATAGCAATCACACAAAAGGACTAGAGAGAATGATTCATCTGGAAAATCTACTTTCTACAGAACAAGTGGGGTAGCAAATCAGTCAATCAAGGACAAAAGTATAAAGATTTGATTTGATTACAAGTGCAACACAAGCAGTGATTGCTAGTGTTGTGCATCACAGAGAAATACTGTACAACCGTCAAAACAAAAATAAGATCTGTTGTACCTGGCAGGCATGATGAAGAAGAGCAGAGCCCACAGCTCCTTGAGAGAGTTCTGCAGCGGTGTGCCCGTGATCAGCAGTCTGTGGTTCGAGTCGAAGCCCTTCAGGGTTTTGTACAGGAGAGAGTCATCGTTTTTCAGTCTGTGGGCCTCATCAACGACTAGACATGCCCACTCTACTCCACCTAGGAATGACTGGGGCAACAAACAAACAACAATCAGTAACGTCAGTGAAGGTTAGACATCCAGTATGATACGCCAAAAAGCAGTTACTCAAGCAACTGGATATGATTTTGGAAACGGTCAGACGTTTCAGCTAGTATCCACTAGCTTTTGTCAGTGACTGTGAGACCAGACAGGAGGGAGTTGTCATTATTTAGTCTGTGGGCCTTGTCCGCCCATTCAACCCTGTGACCATTCAGAGATGTTAAAAAAAGGACTTGGTTGAATGTGGCTGTAACTGATCTCAAGGCTTACAGACCCTATTTCCGTTGACCACCGGTGGATAAAAGAAGAATTAGTCTTACCTTATCCTTGAGAAGGATCTCGTATGTGGTCAGCAGACAGTTGAACTTGAGCTTTTTGTTTCCGGGGTGACACCACTCATATTCCCTGATCTGAAACACGTGATTGCAGTATCCAGTATTTGATTATACTGATGGTAAGTGCAATTTGGTGATAGGGTTGATGAAGCCCCATCCAGGCAATGACATGTATACTCAGTGCTTGAAATGCTTTGTTCTGCATATCTGCACTGGTGCAGATAACATTGAACATTGTACCTGCATCAGTCAAATTTTACCTGCACCACTCAGATTTAGGAAGAGTACAGATCACACTAAAAACTGTTCAGAAGCCATTGTTGTTATTTCTTTTACACTTCATTGTTGCAAAAGGTCAATACAGCACATAGGCAGACATCAGAAATATCTGTGCAGCTCCAATTTTATGTATTACTTAACAATCATGCATATGCAGGTATTTCAAGCGCTGTAGTCCCACCTTGTTCCTGCTCATAACGTCTCCCAGGTAGATAATGACGTTCATGTCCGGAGCCCAGTTGTTGAACTCGCGCTGCCAGGCCGCCATGGTTGACAGGGGCACCACCAGCAGGAACGGGCCGTACAGCGCGTGGGTGTTAAACAGGTAGGACAGGAACGATATCGTCTGGATGGTTTTCCCCAAGCCCATCTCGTCTGCAAGGATTACACTGTTGTTCCTGGGGATTGTAGAGAAGATGGTAAGAGTTAAAATCCTTCCCAGAAACATTTCGGTATATAGGGGTAGTGCCCAGCTCCATTTCTTTAGCCTTTGGGTTGCACAAGGCCATGACAGCAGGGGAAAAAGCAGTCTGTGCCATTTTTCAAGTCTTTGGAATGATGCTACAAGGTTTGAATCCAGACAACTCGAATTCAAGGAAAAGACTACACCCTCTTGGCCATTGTAACAGTTTAAGCAAGAAAGCATGACAAAATAAAAGTACATATCAAGTACATGTATCTTAACCCTTGTCCTGCTGGCATTCCTGGAACAATACTTTTCAATAACTTCATGTCTTAATTAGATCATAGACCCCCAAACTTTTTTGCCCTACAGTGGCATAGTTACTTCCGCATTCGTTGAGTTTTGCTGCGGTGTGATGCGTTGCACGAGAAATAACCCCAATTCGCACCTATACAGGGTGTTATATAGATAGTACTGTATGTGCAGAACAACAATTGTTGTGCTCCGCAGGACAAGGGTTAAGAGTGTATGTTAGGCCTTGTTGATGGAAACTGAGAAAGTCTGCGTACTTGCACCAGGAGTGAGGGAGCCAGTTCAGAGGTGGTGTGTTACTGTTAGTGGCTATGGCAGACATATTAAATCTGCGTACTTGCATCAGGAGTGTGCCAGTTTACAGGTGTCTTAGTTAATGAGGACCTGCAAGGGGGGTCCCGACAACGCTCTACATTGAATTCGGAAACCTCTCGATTACACTTTACGATAAATTCCAAATTCACATTGCGTAGAATTAAAACGGTGAATACGCTCTACGCAAAAATATTAAAACGGCCGATTACACTCTACGGAAAAGGGCTTGCGGGCCCCCGTTAATGATTATGAAAACAAACAAACTCTACATACTTGCACCAAGAGTGAGCGAGCCAGTTGAGTCCGTCCAGCTGATAGTCTCTCAGCTCCAGCTTGTCTGAGCCTCCCAGGTACAGCGGCTGCTTCTTCAGCGCTACAAACCTCGGCCTCTGCTTCAGAACCTGGCAATAAAAACACAGACATTGAAGCTGTGACAAAATCTGTATCTCACATAGTATCAAATTAATTTATAGTTTGATTACTGAGTCAGCCACAATTATTGAACAAATTCAAAGAAATTTCAGCTTTCTATTGCCTCCAAAACATGTGTTTTCAAAAACACTTCTCAAATCAAGTGTTTGAAAAGGCTGCAAGGTAATATAGACCTGAACTGAGCTGTTATGTTGCAAACAAACTCTGGAGTAAATTTCAGAGCCATTGCAGAGCTTTCTTTTTCTCTTTACAGTAATTACACAGGTTTGGAAAGTGTTTTTGAAAATGCATCTAGGTGTTTCATAAAAAAAACGAGCATACAATTGTTGGCTTCTTCTTCATGTCCGAAGATCTCTAGAGCATATGATAATAATAACATTAAATAATAAGAGGTCTTTAAGACATTTTCCAGTAAAACTTTTTGAAAGATGCTGCAAGTACACGGCAAAAGGCCTACCTTGGCGGTCATTTTGCCTGGGATTTTCTGGGACTTGTTCCTGGCGTTGTATCCGTCGACGGCGTCGGGGAAGTACATGGAGATGAGCTCGCCGTCTTCCCACGAGCACTCGGAGTACGGTAGACCCTGCCACTTCACCAGGTAGTCCGGGAAACCTGACGCCGAGTTCTTGGCAGGCTGCTGAGCTGAGGGGTGGAAAAGAAAGAAAAGTGTGTTTGTGAGACAACAACCAATGTATCCGTGAATAGTTTCATCAGGTTGGTAAGTCACTGAGTAAAGAGACTTTTTTTTACACAACCAAGTTTGGGACCACATTGTTGATACAGTTCCCTGTATGTACATGTGTAGATATGTAACTTTTACGTTTGGGAACGCATCTATGGCAGCGACACCTGTGCTGCAGTGCAATGTGAACCAGTCAGAATTGTCCCGAGGAAGGTGACAGATGGTCACCGAAATGTTGGTAGTGAATAAAACACTTGGATGTGTAATAAAAAAAGAGTCTCTTTACTCAGCAACAAATTGGACATCCATGCAAAAATATCAGGCAGCAAGGTTTGGTGCAACTCTACACGAGTGTCAGCTACGGAACAGCGTAGTACGTGGACCAAGAGTGGAACAGAGCTGCCATTAACTGCAATCTTTCCTTTTCTAGAGTAGGTTTTGTGAAATTTGGGCCATCTACTTCATTTTGTACGGATATTTTCACTGTAAGTGCAATGACAGCTCTGGAGTGACAATACCTACAAACTGTTGTCTTTCTTTTCCTTTTCTTGCAATTGTTTCATGAAATTTGGGCTGTCTACATGTACTTCATTTTTGTACGGAAATTTTCACCGTAAGTGCAATGACAGCTCTGGAGTGACAATACCTACAAACTGTTGTCTTTCTTTTCACGTCTTTGCACCTGTTTTGTGAAATTTGCACCATCTACTTTTGTTTTTCTGTAAACGGCTTGTTGGAAATTCTCTCTGTAAAACCAATGTAATGACAGCTCTGATGTAGTGACAATGCCTACATGTAAGACGGAGCTCCTAGCAGTAGTAGTACATGTGCATGCTCTTCACAATGATCATGCATTACAAAAAGGCTTTCAGCATACAAAAAACTGAAGCACAACCACCAGCAGATGTAGTATAATGCTTCACAGTTGTTTTTTTTCAAGATCAAGTACAAAGCGGATGCGCATACACTGTTGACAAGACAAAGCTGATTTGGGATAAGCGTGCAGCATCCACTCAGCATACAAACGTGTATCTACAAAATTTGTTTTTTCTTCTCTGACCAAAAAGGTACCGAGTTTTCCGGTCATAATTCTTCAATACAAGTCCATTTCGGAAAAACAGTTTCAACAGTCAACTAACAACCTTGCATTCATAATATCTTTGCACAGACACGAGGGGGGGGGGGACATAAAAACGTTTCATTTCTTGTCACGGCATGTGTGCATATTGTTGTATGCCAGTTTCCAACTGCATACAAAATGAAAACAAAGGATTCACGAGACCCTAAAAACATAAAGAAAGTCATTATAGTCACCCCTTTCCACCATTGGTAGCAACCCCTGAGCAACCAATGATTTGACCGATCTCTGAACAGATTTCCTTATTATTTGCATGTTTTGTTGTCTTTTAAATCATACGTTTAGACCAATTTTACTATCAAGTTTCACACAAATTTCATTTTGGATGCTCAGCAATTGCAGTTCAGTGGAAAGGGGTTTGAACGATCTGTAACAGAAACATGACAAGAAATGAATCCTTTTTATGCTTCAGTGGTACATTATAGCAGCCACACATTCACACATGACAGCAGTAAGGACAAAAGCTTGGCGGAACGACAGAGTGAGAGAGAGAGAAAGAGAGAGAAGCTCCCCTACCAGGAGCTTCTTCGTTTCGCGATACTCTCCCACCTGAGGTCTTGCTCCTGTGGGCTGAAAAAGCAACACAGGTACCGTAAATTCACTTTTTATTTTCGCGGGGACTTCATTTTGGTGGAAAGGTGGTTTGGTCTTCACCATGTTTTTTTAAGGTCCTGGTTGGAATGATTCTGTAGTGCTTTGAAATGACATATTAGCTGTGTCACGATTTCGCTGTGAAGTCATCACGAAAATAGAACAACAAATGTACACGTGTTATGGGTTAATAATATGTTGCTTTTTTATAAACTGAAACTGAATAAATATGTGTGCAGTGTACCCACAATGGATAGACAAAAGTTTTGACTAAGTTTTGATAATTCATTTTGTTGTTTGGCTCAACTCTGGTGATATAGAACTCTGTGTGCTAGCCTGATTATATGTATGTATAATAACTATAATTATGATTGTGTAATGCGAATAAGTTAGTTCAAAGTTTGAAATGTGCATGGGAAGTGTGATGCATGTGGATAATATATCTAGTTGAAGGCCACTGGCAGTACATAAATCAAATGGCAAACAGTCTTCAACTTTGACATATACATTTCCTGTAAGGCCACAGCAAGTAAATTTTATGGATGACATCCTCTGCAGACTTCAAATCTAATGTGAGCGGGCGAAAAAAAACAAGGCAGGCCGAAAAAAACAAGGTTCCTACATGTTAACATTTTGACTCAATCATTGTACAAATGGTTTTTATTCAGTGGGAACATCACATATACACAGCCAGCATCACTGCATCAAAGTAAGAAACAGAGCCTTTTCTTGTCTCCTCTCTTAATAGTTAACTGCCATCCACCTTCCGGCATAGCGACAGATATCTTTGCCCATTTTTGGCATGTTAATCACTGTCAGAAGGCAACAAAATTTTTTTTTTCTTCTTCCAAAATCAGGAAAAATTTATGCACGTGCTGATATCATCCATAAAAATTACTTGCTGTGGCCTAACGCATCACACAGTGCATGCACACTTTGTAGTTATGTCTGCAGCAACTAATATGCTACTGATCATCCTTAAACACATATCAGGACATAAAAAAATGCATAAAATTGCACAGACACAGTCAAATCTGCCCAATAAGACCACTCAGGAGACTGATAAAATCTGGTCTATGTGGACAGGTGGTCACTATAGACAGGATTCTCGATGCTTGTATAAATGATCTAGAGGTGGCCACATTGGTCCTTTTGTAGAGGTGGTCACTTGGATAGGTTTGACTGTACTTATATACAATACAATAGGATACAATGTGATACAGGAAAGGGTATTAGAATGAGGTATGATCCAAGCTTTCATCAGTGTTATTGAGAGAAGTTTGTGAGTTTGAGTGAAAGGGCAAACCTTGCCAAACGAAGAGTCCACACGTTGGGTTTGGGTCGGGGTACGGTGGGGACAAACACTTTGGCTGTAATCCTGGTACCACAGAACATGGGAGGGGGGCATGCAGCAATATTAATAACTTGCAGCAGCAAAAAAGTAAAGTGCCAACTAAACATACATTTTCTTTATCTTGCAGCATTTTTAACAAGCACAGCCATTCACTTAAGTGAGGACTGAGCTACAGTGTGCCCTCTGGTTCACTACCAAGCACTGCACTAATGCCAGCAAATAGATAGAAGGAAGTTGCCATTTCTTCTGTACGTGCAAAGATGCATAGTGGTGCATATTCTGCTGTTTATTGCTTGAACTGAAGCCAGACCACATGCAACAGTGACTGCTTGGGTTTAAGGCAGACACACACACACAGAACCGTGTATGGTGAGAATTATGCATAAAATGATAGATAAAATGTGCCTTACGACCATTGAGGCCGACTGGTGGGGAAAAAACAAAATCAAAACTGTTACACCTCTTAAGTTCCGACAACCCTAACCCTAAGTCAAAACTGATACAGATTTGGACTGTAATTTCCAATACAAAAAAATTGGAAAATTCAACAGCAAGTCCAATTTACAGTTCAAACCTGTTTAAGAATGACTTCTACCAACACAACGGAACGTAAGGGTGTCGAAACATTGGGGCTCCAGAACATAGAGGTGTCTAAAATCCAAACAAGGCTGTGCTAGAACTGGTGCTATCTGAAGAAAATGCCTATTTAAGTGATTGCATCTGTGGCTATTGCTCGCAACAGCACGATACAAAAAAAAAGTGCAGTGGCAGTGGCGGCACGTGACAACACAGTACAGTACAGACTTCCCCATGTTTGTGGTACCGGGAGGAACAGGCCAAGAGTCGTTTGTCCGCCCCCGTACTCCCGTAACGGAGCGCGGGTGACTTACATGGCGGGCCGGCTAGCTCATGCTGGGGACTGGCGGGGTACGCCATACCTATGATTCTCTCAACCTGCTGGTAGGCACTCAGGAGGTCTTCATTCATCTCAGACTGGCACTCAAGGTACTCCAGGTCTTCTGGGGACGCCTGGTCTTTCCTGGGGATGAGAGAGAAAAGCAGACATAGCTACATATGATATCTAGTTGGCTTAATCTACTTAGCTACATATGAGTGCTAGCTGGCATAGTTTGAGCTCAGGAGGTCTTCATTCATCTCCGACTGGCACTCAAGGTACTCCAGGTCTTCTGGGGATGCCTGGTCTTTCCTAGATGTAGAAAGAAAAGGCAACTGTTAGATTTAACTACATTTTGAAACTGGTCAGGCAACGAATCAAAAAGAGAGCATCCCAAATTGTGAAAGTGGTGTCAAAAAACTGTTTAGATCAAATGAAGTCAATTAACAGCTTCATGGAGCTACTTGAGGACTTCTGAGTATGCCTGGTCTTTCCTAGAGGAACAGGCATGGGTAGGTTAAGATAGATGTGATGTCAATGTTCTAGTGAGTAGTGTGAGCTAAGGAGATTTTCATTCATCTCAGACTGGCACTCAAGATACTCCAGGTCTTCTGGGGACGCCTGGTCTTTCCTGAGAAAAGAAACGTAAGTTAGACGGAGCTATGTATGATATCAGAGTTCTAGCTGGCATAGTTTGAGCTCAGGAGGTCTTCATTAATCTCAGACTGGCACTCCAGGTACTCCAGGTCTTCTGGGGACGCCTGGTCTCTCCTGGGATAATATGGTTAGATTGAGCTACATATCGCTACAGAACAAAGGAGTTAAAAAGTAAAACACCATTGAGTGTAACACACCAGTTTGTGTAGTAAGTACAAGCTGCATAAGACTGGACTGTAAGGTTTGATCCATGCACATAAGGAGGGACACCTACTCTTTCCAGAAGTGTGGTAGGTTCTGTACTGTGCTACAGGGCTTCTGTCCCATTTAGGACAATACTAACCAAATCATCTGGCATATTTTGACTGTCAGCTTGACTCTATTTCATGGAATCCAGAATCAGAGACTTCTTAGTTACTTTCTGTCCTTGATGACTTCTAAGTTTTTGTTTTGAATGATATGAAAAAAAAGTGATTGTAAAACCTACCACTGTTGCAGGTCGTTCTTCTTCTTCATGTAGTTCTCCAGTTTCTTCATGCCCTTGACCTTCTGCTCGGCCAGGGTCGCCTCGCTCTCCCAGGTGTTGTGCAGGTGAGACCAGTCCTTCCACTTGATGAGGTACTGTGTCTCCGTCTCGTCTGTCTCCGGGTCTGGAGGCTTGTTGGCCGCGGCAGCGTCCGCCGCGTACATCGTAGTTATTGCACCAGTGCCTGCAAAAAAAACCAAAAATAATTAGAATTGTGATTAAGTATTACCTTTCCTTTCCATGCGCATTTTCATATTTCTTTTCCTTGTGAAAGAATCGTCAACCTAGCTAGAATTTATGTGCAACTGAAGTGAATAAACTTGGAAATAACTATAGTCAAAGCTGTACAAGTGACACCTCTATATAATGACCACCTGACCAATTTAACCACTTTTTGGTGATCCCTTGGATAATTTTTGACACAAGCCAATTGACACAAGCCTTAGTGACCACCTGTCCAAATAGACAGCCACTATATGATCGGCTTGGAGATTAGAATATGGATACAAAATATAGTATACAATGGTTCAATGCAAAAGTGTAGAAAATAGTTGATGCTAAACTTACTCCCTTTCTTGCCTATTCTGTGGTTGAGGCAGTCCAAACTATTAATATATTGGTTCAATGCAAAAGTGTACAAAATTGTGTTGTTTTTGATGTACTTACTCCCTTTCTTGCCTGTCCTGTGGTTGAGAACCCTCTCGATGGCCTCAGCATCATCATTCTCCTCCTCTTTCGTAGCGATCTCCATCAGGTCATCCGAGTCCGTCGCATCCGGACTCTCCTCTTTGTAACTGAAACAACCAGAAAAGTTTACTGCTTTGGTAATTTGTCTTAAGGTTGGAAAAACATGAAGAAATTTGCAACAGATATTCCTCACATACATAAACATATCTAAGGAGTGATATATACATCCATCTGTCACATTTTTATTGTAATTTTGCACTCGACTGGGATGAGGACAAAAGGGTAAAGCAGTCATCCTCAACTCAAGTGCAAGCGTATTGCCTTTTTGTCTAGTTAGTGGTAGTGTGATGCAACTTTTCTTCCAACCTCACCAGGTCACCCCTACTCTTTTGTTGGGTTCTTTTATGTGCAGCAGTTTGGCACTTGAAGCTAATGTCCGAAGCTCTCTCATATACAGAGCATGCAGGTCACCATCCAAGATGACGTAGGATGTTGATGGCCATTGTATTGCCGTAACAATTTCAATAAAATAAATACTGTAGTAAATATAATAAAAATAAATAAGTACCATGATATGACCAAAAAAAAAGAGTATCTGCTCTGTATTTACCTGACATTTGCAGCAGCTTTTCTCCTGGACAGTCTCTTCTGTTCCCGCTCACTCAGACTTCCCGACCGCTTCCGACCCTGATTGTTGGCAGCTGACTTCCCCTTGATGGGGGCTTTACCTGAAGAACACAGGCAAAAAAGTCAGGACATTAACCTTTAGCACACTGAAGGAGCAATCTGGGTACCAATTCTATATTGGTTAGGTAGCAGAAAGAAGGTTCATGTCTGGCTCCACCTAATGTATAAACATCCCGTATCTTACAATGAATTACAGTCATTAAAGTATTAAGTATATAATCACGACACTAACAAATTGCGAAGGGCCATGGAGGACCAAGTGCTGGACTAAGTGTTAAGTATAAAAAATACATTTCTGCAATGTATGTATATACTGTAAACATGTTGCATGTAATGTATGTTTTCCAGGGCCCCACAGTAAAGCTGTGCCATGCCATTGAGATGGGCCACCTTTTTAAATAAATCAGAAATACATAAAATCCACAGATTACCTCTGACTCTGGCCTGTGGCCTGGCGGCCGGTCTAGCGGCAGGTTTGGCCCTTCTTTTCACTGTGTAGTCATCACTGCTGCCCGAGTCATTGTCATCATCATCATCATCACTGTCACTGTTGTCTGCCTCCCAGTTTTCACTTCTGAGAGAGGAAGAGAAAAATAATTTTCTTTAACGAATGCGCTTAGTGCAAGGCCAAGAGACTAGTTATGGCTATTGAAGGGCAGCTCTAATTACAAACTAAACCTGAGTGTTTAATGTTTTGTTACAGATTTGAACTGTGAGTGTTTAAACAAATCTGTGTTTCGTAGCACATCACAGTTTCCCCCAGATCCCAGGGACCTTGGAGCAGTAGAAACATATGATTACAAAAGACAGGACTTCTTTAAACTTAGCAAAGTCTGGCGCCATGAACTGTGCAACATTTAGGACTTGATGGAAGGGAGAAAGGGCCAGCTCCTGGCCTGAGCACATAGGCAGGCTACTGTTCACACTTACGATTTCCGTTTTCTTCTGGATTTCGCTGAGATGTTTTTTCTTCTTTTGCGGTGATCTTCATCATCATCTTCATCATTTTCTTCATCAGACTCCTGCATTTGACAGTGAGAGAAAACACAGATTAACCTTCAACATGCTATCGTAGCCGTTAGGCATTAAAGTTGTATTAGTTATAGGGTTTGGCAGCAGAGAGAAGGTTAACATATGGTGTTGTCATTGACATCCAAGTCAATATTTCGAAAGGGTTATTAACCTTCAGCATGCTACAGTGGCCAGTAGGCACTGAAGTTGTGTTGGTTAAGGGGTTAGGTATCAGGAAGGGGTTAGGTTAACAGGTAGTGTTGTCATTGACATCCAAATAAAGGCTTCAGCCTGTTAAGGCAGTTGTTTGGCACTACAATTTTATTGGTTATGGGGTCAGGCAGCAGGGAGGTCATCAGGCAGTGTTGTCATTGACATCCAAATCAAGACTTCAGCAAGGATATCAAGACTTTGTAAATGCTTCAACGTTCAAGAGTAAGAATTAAGTATATCAAGACATATCATACATGGAAGTAAAACATCCAAAATGCTGCACATTTACATACAAAAAGTCATGGTTATGCCAACAAGACTTAATCATTCAAAACAATGGATGGGCACTTTTTGTGTAACAACCCTATGATAATCCAGCCAATTATCTATTCCATCTGATATCTAATCATTTAAACTTTTTGGGTAATCAGCAATATAAAACAAACCAAACTGGATAAATTTTCTGAGGAGTCAAAGACATTTCAGACAGCATCCACTATCTTTCATCAACGTAATCTGTACACAAATGAAATGAAATGTGTCTGTATTATTCTATGAAACTTTTTGAATGCCATGTGATACGACAAGTTACATGAGCCTCAACCGCTAGTTTTTAAATTGTAAATATCAATTTGTGTTTATTGTTGATATATTTTCCATGTATGTGATATGTAATTTTAATGTTGGAGCCTTGGAAGACTAGCCCTGCAGGGCTAAAAGGCTTCGAAATAAATGAAATGAAGTTATCACACTGGCCTGAACACTTGTATCAAACCCAAGTATGAAAAAAAAACGTGTATCTGAATGGATGTGTAAATGAAATGAGGAAAGTCAGGCTACTGTGTGTGTGATCACTCAAAAGAAAATGAATTCCTTGTGTGACCGACAGTACCTCCATGCCTACATTATATCTGCTGGGTTCTTTCTTGGCTCGGCTGGACCTTCTCACTCCATAGACGTCCGGGTATTCCTCCCACATCTGGTAAACACAAACATAAACAAAGCTTAGACAAACATAAACAAAGATTAGATAAACATAAACAATGACTGGATCAGTAAAATAAGTTTTATATAGTGTGAATAGTTTTAGTTTTACAAATCGCATTCTCAACAGTGTCGCTTTCAATTCATTAAGGTTTAAAAACTTTAATCCAATATCATATTCAAGAATTTAGGGCCAAAGGAAAGGTTCTATTATAACAATTGACCCGTGTTTCAGCCAACATTAGTCTTTCTGTCATTGAATGAAATTTTACCACTCATGACGGGCAAAAACTCTGTCCAATCCATCATTTTGGTCAGACAAAAATTGGCATGTAAAGATATAGAAAGAGATGCCATTAAACTTTGAATAGTCAAATTTGCCCCATGAAATGCTAAAAAAAAAACATTTTTCAGAGGGTCAAGATTTCAAAATTTCCTAGGGGAACAAAACAGGGATGGCAGAAAAAAAATTCAGGCTACCTAGTACACTGCTCTAACATTACCTACGACAGTTTAGAAGCGACAGTGTGTGAGCTGCAACCTTCCCACCTGTTTGAGATCAGCCAGTCTCTCCTTCTTGGGCAGTTTTGACAGTATTTAAGAAGAAAAGGTTCCAGCATACTCTTCAAGCAGAGGTTTGGGTTTGGGGTTATTTTTGGCGTGTTTTAGGCTTTTTATCGGGGTTTCTCTTTTGCAAGTTGGAATTATTTTTTGGGGGGTGAAAAAAATTTCCAGTGCAAAAGAAAAAAAACCAATAAAAAAGCCTAAAAACACGCTAAAAATAACCCCAAACCCAAACCTCTGCTTGGAGAGTAGTGCAAGCATAACCCGAGACAATAGAAAAGTAGCCAGTAAGATTCCCACCTGTTTGAGATCAGCCAGTCTCTCCTTCTTGGGCAGTTTGCCTGCTTGGTCCTTGCTGTCGGCTGCCAGGTCATTCGACTCATCCCCATCCTCCTGATGATGATGATGAAATGGTTTATTGGGAATAAAAACACTGGCAGCCTTACATAGGCTGAATTGTGGTTATCTACATTGTAAGACTCATTGACAAATTAACAATTCAATGTCATCTGCATTGTAAGACTCGCATGACAACATAGTAGAAAATTCATATATGGGTCAAAACACACGAAAGGCGGGTACAATCAGTCAATATAAAATTCCATACATTTTAAAATCAATTGGTGATTATATTCTAAAACGTTTTGCTCATGAATAAAATATTCTGTATACATGGAGGCCGCACAAATATTTACCTGCTCTTCCCCATCCTCCTCCGCTTTCGCGCTCTCGTTTCCCGATTCGCTCGCGGAGCTGGATCCAGATCCAGATCCGGATCCCGACTTGGACTCGGACTCTGATTGGCTGCCGGAGTCGGAGCTGCTTCCCGATTGGCTGCTGGAGCTGGAGCCGGATTTTGATTGGTCCTCATCGTTGCTGTCCTCTGACCCAGAGTTGCTCTCATCTGAGCTGTAAAAAAATTAGAGAGGAGAAAATTTTCAAAAAAATCGAATATACAAAAGCAATTTGAACACTAAATCTGAACTCAAGTTTAGCCTCTGTCACCCATCAAAATGTAAAAATGCAAGATAAATACATTATAAATTCAAAAATAAATGCAGGTACCCTCTCATTGGTGGCCGAATTGCTAATTGCCATGCTCTCATTGGCTGAATTGCTAAGTGTAATTGGCATTCAGAATCAGTCAATTAAGATAACCTTTTTTTCAACACAAATGAGTATGAAAACTAAGAATGCCAAATAGTTAATCTACAATTATCTTTAAAAGTCTAATAAGCAACACATCAGTTTGGACGAAACATTTGAAAAGGATGTAATCATACAAGGGATACTGAGCTCATCCTTTTCTACTGATAACAACAAACACTAGGTCAACTTGACCAAGTACACAACATCGATACTTCCACATGCTATCCATAACTTCCACATTTCTTACCATTTAGTCATCTTTCTAGCAGCATGGAAAGTGTAGAGGAAGAAGAGAGTTACTTAAAGGGGATTCAACACTACTTCAATCATTGAAACTTTTACATCTACATGCTGAATAAAGGAGCAGTGCTAGAAAAGGTGTATATCAATACTAATTTCTACAAAGAAGGGTGTTAAACCTTGCTGTTTTTTGTAACATATCGGACTGTTATCTCTAAATTCTGATAATATTTCTCTTGTGTTCTTGTTGGGTTTGATTATGGTTCTACAGAAAGCTTCTGACATACAGTGTAGTCTGATACTTCCCAGCAGCCAAGGAGTTAACAGTAGGTCTGAAACCTTCTTCAAATTGGCCAACATCACAAGAATATTGCAATCAGCAATCAACCAAAAATACAGAGGTATTCTTATGTTTTCATACAATTAAGATGTGTCAGTCTTATGTAAATGACACAACATGCTAACAAATTTTTCTATGAATCCAAAATACCACACCAGAACTGTCACAGGACTATTTCTTACGGGTGAATACCACCAGGCTAGAGCTTAAAACTTCTAAAGACCTCCAAAAATGTCAAATTTGTGCCTAAATCTTGTCTCACAGGTAAAACGATATCTACACAACATGCCCTATCACGTAGTATTCTTAAAATTGAGATTCGGCAGTATGTTATCAAAAAGACTACGTAACAGACACCACTTTGGTAAAATTGCTTGAAGGGATAACATACAACATAACCTCCCTTACTACTGCTTTTGCATGGTAACCTTTGTAAAAGCAGAAATCTAAGCTACATAGTACTCTTGTACATGAGGATAACAACATAAAAAATCTATTCACACTTATTTTCAAACTGAAACAGGTTAGAAAGTAATAAAGTTCAGCAATGAGTCCAAATAAAGCCATGTCAGAGAAGGCTTTTCTCAGCTGTGAGGCCAGTCAGTATATTTGGGGTCAATGCCCTACTTTCCTACATAATGACAACAGCTAACAATGTGCAGGCAAGGAACCGAAGAAAATGGAACATAAGCTTCTTAAAAATAATACAACAAGCACAATAAAACTGTTACAAAGAGCCCTTCAGCATTATTGTACATATGTTGTTTCACAGGCCCTATTTCAGGCTAGTTTACAATAGAAAAACAGCTATGAGTATGTCTTTTACTCTTGTTTGGTCTATTCAATACTCTACATTACAGAAAAAAGCTTGTCACAAGTTTAATTGGTTAACCAAGGTCTCAAATACATTTTCTGAGGAAGAAAAGCCAGAATGTTTACCCACTTTAACAAGCCATGACAGCTTAAACTGAATAGAACACTAAGCAAATATTTGGCAAAGGTCAATTTTTCAACTGAATAAACACTAATGCCGTAACAGTCGAATATTTCCTTTTGGATCCTCTAAAATGCAAAACTGGCAAATTTTCTCTTAAACCTATTTCAAAAGACACTTATTTCGTAAACTGACTTCAAGACAATGACAACAGAACTGCATATGCAACACCAGTAACGGACAAAAAAATCAAATGCATTTTCTTTCCATACTAGACACTGACAAAAAGAAAATTCCCAAATTCTATTAGTATTACAAACACACTTAAAATTGTCTAATTTCTGTACATATAAAATGCCAGGGAGTTGTTTTGTAAAAGATGTAGCCAGATCCTTGCCAGTCAACACCAGACACAAGAACACTGTGCCAAAAATGCTTCTAACATATGCCACTCCCACATAACACCCTGCAAAAAATGAAAGCCCCAAATATACCAAAAACACCTTCAAAAATTGTACATAATTTTCATAGATATTCAAAAGAAAATGCAATTATTTTGTACAGAGTGTAGCCAGGTCCTTGCCACAGCACCAGCTGCTAACTTTGCCTGCAGCCTTGTCAGTACAACTGTGTTCTACCTTCAGCAGGGCCCCTGCCTACAGACATGATGTCATCGCTTACATTTCAAAATTGGCTGACCAATCGCAGCGCGGGGCCCTCAGAACAGGCATTTCGTATGGCAGGTAGCTGCTACAAACTGTGGAGGCATGGAGTTGGCTGTTCTGGGCATATGTTAGGGACTCGAAGAATTACAATAGTACTGTGGTACAGTGAACGAAAGAATAGAGCATTGACAAGAGATGATACTCCAGAAATGTCAATTACAAACACTTGTTCATCGAAGGGAGGTCTTTCTTTTTATTTCAAAACATATAGAAAAGAAATACAGTGCCAAATACAATTTTAAGGCATTAGTTTATCATAAATTGTGAAAACTTTTGTGCTAAGGAAACTGTTTGCTTGACAATGTTCTACCAATTGCCTGCAAAATGTTGTTCGTGTTTAGCTTCTTAATTTCTGTTTCCTAACTTTCTCTTTTGTGTCTTTCTGTAAAATTTTACTACTTAACTTTCTATTCTATAAAGAAAGTTATTTCATGATGACTTTCAGACTCATACTCAGTGACAAAGATCAACAGCCTTTTTTTCAAAAGTAAGTTCAAAGTTTATGTTGAAAGTTTCGGCATCTTCTGACGATTGACTAGATATTCGAAGGCACTAAAGAGCTGGTGTGTTTGCCCTGTCACCTGTTCAAAATAATTTATAAATATGTTATGATAATAATAATAACCTTGTGATGTGTGTAAATTCTTAAAACAGAGAGGTTCCTTTTTTTAGACTGCATCAATCAATGACTACATAACGTAAAGTGGAAAATCCTCAAGGCAACTGCAAACAAAATTGTTCTTGAAACTTTTTGAGTGTTTCAGGCACAATTTGTATACGGTAATTATTTTTTCGAACCAGAAAACTTTCGAAAGAGCTTTGCAGCAGTTGACACTGCCATTCCAAGTTGCTTGGACAACTGGATCAACAGAAAGACATTCATTTTGCACAAGGAACCAGTTAGTAGTTTAAAAAGAGTTCTCTTCCAAATAGTTCTTTGTAACTTCTTTGCCAAACTTATCAAGCAACTGGCAAAACCCATCTGGAGTTTTTGATGAATAAACAAGAATGTAAACATATACTTAACATTGGTAAACAATGTTTCTATACTCTTTTTCTCTGCATTCAGTTGTCAACAATGGAATAACTGAAGCTCTAGACAGAGCCTTAATGTTTTAAAGATATCCAAGAGTTACTACAAGACCACATAAAACAGTATGTCACAAAAAATGAAATACAGTGCTTCTAAAAGTAAACAAACACTGGCCTTCAGTGCTCCCAGTGGCTGAAACAATCACTTTCTTCCTGAAGGTCTGGCAAATTCATTTCTCAGCCCAGCTCAAAACAAAATGGTTCATGTGACACTATGGACATTACACTACACATGCGGCAGCAAATAAACGCCTTTTTCTGTAAAATGTGGAAAAAGACTACGTATCAGACACGACCAACCGAGAAAAGTCTGCTTCTCTACCAGCATGGAAGGTTTAAATGTGTGTCAAGGATTTTGCTGTTTATATGCAGCCTAAAACATGGAGTATGCATCTCAAAATTTGTAACCACATTTTACACATTACAAAGATATAGTAAAAAAATATTTATGGCAAAAAAATTGAATTTGGTGTTAAAAATCAGCCCAGGAAAGGTCCCTGTGGCGTTCTCCTGTTCTGTTTTGTTGACTCTAGGTTGGGTGGATTGCAGACTTCACGGTCTGTTTGTCATGCAAAAGAATGGCCTGTCCAACATGTCCAACCTGATTACAACAGTTATCAGTGCAATCTACCTCATAATTTGCACAAAAATAACAAAACAACAACAGAAAAAGCAGCTAGATCTCTGTAGGCAACATAGAACAAGCAGATGGCCCTTTCTGAAGCAGTTTTCAGCCAGGAAAGCAGCACATATCGTGTTCAAACAAACATCAATCAATAGGAGTAAGAAATTCTAAGCTTTTCATAACCTTAACGAAATCATATCCAGTTTTATAGAAACATTACAGCATCAGCAAATGGTTAGAGTTGACAACAAGGCCGTAAAATATGGCTGTGAGGCCAGGCAGCCGGGAGTCTAGACCACTCCTTTCAATTTCACGCTGCGTCACCAGAACCCTTACTGGGGGCCCCATGGCTGAACAACAACAGCTTTACATATCTGTGGTTCGATGTAGAAAGGAAGCAAATCGGCTACAGAATCGTGACAGCAGGGGATAAAGCTGTTCTGTATCAATTTTAGGGCAGACCAGCTTGTACTGAATGGCTCACTAGGGTCCAGAATAGTAAGGGACAGACCGACGGTAAAAATTCAAGAAAATCTGAATTTTCACAAAATCCATTAACAAGCCTAAAATCCTTGAAATCTCTGTTAAACTAGATGTTACAATCCAAGAAAACAAACCTGTTTTAAAGTGGGGAAACAGACAGAGGCAGCCAGGCCTGTTTTCCACTCAAAGGCAAGGGCATGCAAAATTAACCACAATTCACAATGGCTGAGCAAGCACACGCCCTAAATAACACTTCATCACAAAAACCTCCACAAAAGAAAAATTAGCCGTCCAAATCCTCAAAAACTGAACCAGAAGCACAGAGAACAACATCCACAGCTAGCTGCATGCAGAGTGGGGAGGGTGACAGTACCCTGAGGTCCGCACACCCGACACAGACGGTGAGAGCTTGTTGCCTGACATGGCGGCTGGGCTCTGTGCTGAATCCTGTATGACCTCCACTCAGTCTGCAATGCAGCAAACCAGGGGCCCCTTCAAGGGAGGAGCTTTCTCTGTATGTTACACTTACCAACAGTATTAGGCTACACAGAAAAAGTTGCAGTCGTCTGGTAGTACATGTTGTGTTCGGTAACAGAGTGGTCTTAGCTTGGACAAAACTTCAGAATGTGGTATGATCTGACATACTACAATTTCTACCTGATATACTTGGGCACCTTCAAAATATGGAGGAGCTTTCTGTACTATATAACACTTAGCTTACTACTAACAGTATTGTCCAGGCTGCATGCTAGAGAATGTTATTGTTGTGTGGTAGTACACTGTGTTCTGTAGCGAAGTGGTCTTAGATTACATACAAGAGTTA